CAAAAACTACATTTCCATTTCCAGTTTCTACAAGAAAGTCGATTTAAGTACAAGTTAAAACGCACTAAACTGAAAATCAGACAAAATAAATAAGCCGGAAATAATGAGTCTCTCATAAATAATGAGCCGGAAATAAATGAGCGTTTTCAACTCGAATATTTGAAATCCTATAACTTGATCTAAACAAAACTCTATTAATCGAAATAAGAACCATTAAAATTAACACATTTTTGCCAACGAGAAACGATTTTATTTATGTCGGTAGCATAGAAGTCCGGGCTTCTGGAGGCGATAAAGTCGGCGAAGGCGTTTTTGGCATCGTCTTGAGTTTTGAAGCATTTCTCCCGGAGAAAGTTGTCGAGGTGCTTGAAAAAGTGGTAGTCGGTAGGCAATGAAAGTCAGACAAAACTAGCATACTGTAGCTCAAACCTATTTAAGTTGGCATTTTGTCTTTTATCATTTTGTCGTCTCTATGCGGATTTTTGTCACAATTTCATCAACAAGTTCCCCAAAGTTTGTTCATCACTCATCGAAGTAATCAAGTATTGTAAAAGTTCACTCTTCAAGTAGAATAAATACTAAAGCTGTGGCAACGAATGTTATATCAAATTCGCAAATATTATTTCACTTGCTGTTTAGTGATTTATTGGCTAACCTGCTTTAGATAAATAGTAAATTATATTCAACGCAAAGTATACGGAATTCGTGTCAGGAGAGCTCAACAAATAGAATAAAAGCAAAGAGCCACCATTCAAACGTCTTTTTTATTTTGTATACAGTTTAAGAAGAACCCATGCTTTATACAAGATTCGCTTTATACAGCAAGCAGGATTCGAACCAAAGACACCCAAAGCTACCCGGTGTTTTTTTTCAAAAAGACTGTAAGAATGATTGTTTTATGATACCCAAACAAATGTCCCTTCTTTGTTTTCAAATGAATTGTTTGAAAGAAACTTTTCAAAAATTAGTTTTATTTTGTCTGAAACGAGATAAACAATGCTTCACTTTCATAAGATAATTTTGTGATTCACTTGAAATTGCCGAAAAGAAACAAATTAATAAAACTAGGCTTTTGACTTGGTATTAAGAAACAGAATAAAGAGATCTGGATCAGGGGTTTGCGGATCTTAAAATGCCGGATCGGATCCGGATGATCCGAGTAATCCGAGTTTTAAAAAACCTGCTCCGGATTGTCCAGATGCATGCAAACTTTGACGACAATTTTGTCTCAAATGACGCTGCTTCCACAAAAAACTCAATTTACATTTGTGAAAATTAGCATACCTACCGTAAATACTGTAATAGTACCCCAACCCCATAATGACGGTGCGGAGTGTTGCGTAGTCTAGCTTTAAACGAGTTTTTCTCGACACTGGTTTAAGCTACAATGCGCACTTAGGTATCAAAAAATAGCCCTGAATTTCAGTTATTTCAGCTAGTCGCCTAGTCGCCTTTTGCGACTACGCGACTGTACTAGGGGGGGGTGGGGTTACAGTATTTACGGTATGTTAAAATCCGAAAATCCGGAGATTCGGATCGGATTCCGGATCGGATTCCAGATCGAATTTTCAAAAAAAGGCCTGGATTCCTGGCTTTTCGCATCCGGCTCGAATGATCCGCACATCCCTGGTCTGAATGTTGTGGAGGCTTTGATTGTACTTTGATGTATTTGTCAAGCTTCGGTATACAGAACAACTTTATGAACAATAATTGCCACTTGAACAAGCCAAACCTTTTCACAACCGGAGAAAACGAAGGGAACAAGCTTTCTCACAAACAAACAAATGATTTTCTCTCAGAAAAACAGGAAATTCGGCTTATGTAGCCAAAAATGCGGCAAACTACGGTAGCTTATTGACAGTTTAGCATTAACTTGATAGCTTTTGGTGACAGTTGGCACAGATGTGCAAATTAAATCTTGTTTAACCCATTTTTTGAAAACATGCAATAGTTTGACAGTTTGCACTTATAGATTTAGCATGCCTAACTATGAAAAGTAAAAATTTTCTCATTATCAGATAGATATGCGGATTTGATTTTGTACATTTCTTTTCTATCTTAGAACAAAACATCAATTCATTTTATACATCAGCTGCTTGTCGACTTCGATCAACCAGTTCATATTTCCGATTCATTGTCGAGTGAATGGAACGATTGGGATTCCTTTTAAGCAAAAAATCAATGTGAAATTGGCGATGAACACTGAAAAATGACTCCTCTTAATATGGTCAGCTGTCAGCCGTCAGCTGTCAGCCGTCAGCCGTCAGCCGTCAGCCGTCAGCCGTCAGCTGTCTTTTGTTTAGTTTTCTAGATGTTAGTATTTAGATACACAGTTTTCCCCAATCTTTTGAGCTACTTTTGAGCTACTTTTAAACAGAAGTTTACAAACCGAGAATGCTAAGTAGCATGAGATTTGCCAATTCGTATCGGGATCCCACTTGAGTGATTTCCACTTGAGTGATTTCCACTTGAGTGATTTTCATCAACAATACCGCTTTTCCCTAAACATTATCTCATTTTCAAAATGGTTACTCCCCACTTTTTGCACCATATCCTCACTCTCAGAATCACTCGATTCACTTGATGATTCGATTTCCTTTGGTTGATCAGTTTCAAGTCCAACCTCTCGTTTGAGCCTTCTCATTCTCTATAAAAGACTTTAAAATTAAATCTTTACTTTACTATTAAATCTAATCTTAAACTTACAACTTGATTCCTCAAGAAATAATCTGCATCAGTTTTTTCGATAACTTCATAAAAACGAGGAGAATTGTGGGCTGTGGGTTGACAAGCCTCACAAGGGACAAAGCAAAAAATAAAAAGAAATAAAGAACATAGGAATACGGTAGGAATCATTGGACGAAATGAAGTTAAAATGAAAAACTTATTTGCAAAGTTTTCCTGATATTTTCATAATGTATGAATCAACGAATGAACCATCACCAAATTTCGCAAAAATTGAGAAAAAACTTTAATTAGAAAGGAAACTTTCTGGAAAAACTATGGAAAACTATGAAAAACTACAAGATAAACAATTGTTTTTGTTATTTTTTGCACAAACAGTTTTTTTAAACTGCAAAAACAGTTTTATTGAGCATAAAAGAAAGAAGTGGATCTAAGAAAAACAATCAACAAAATTTTGATTTTGAAAATAATATCTTAAAGTTTTTTGGGAGCTTAAGCTTTCATGGTCAAATTGAAACCATAAGATCAGCTAGATCTTCGTTTTCTAAACTTATAAGTTAGATATTTACAAGTTTCATTCATGATTACTAAAGTAATCCTTTAAGTTCAAAATTTGGTCACAAACATTTAAACAAGTGGTATTGTTTTATATTGGGTTGGTGGAAAAGTCCTTTCGGATTTTTTGGGAGAGTACCTTAAATTTGTCCAATTTTGACGTTTTATAGCTAAAGCTGAATTCAAGACGGATCGATTGGTAAAAACCGTTTTGAGATATCTCTTTTCTGAAAGTTTTTACAGCTATTTTAGTAAAGGGCGGCAGAGCCAAAAAATGGCTGTTTTCACGTTTCGTTAGTTTTCCGTGCAGAAACCTAGGCTAAAAACATGTTTTTCGTGATCAGCGTCAAAAATAACCCCTAGACACAAATTTTCAGAATCTTAGCAAAAAATTTTTGAAAAATATTGTCACCGGTGGAAGTCGAACCAGCGACCCTCAGATCAATAGCCTTTCCGCCGCTTTTCGCGATTTTCCTTCGTTTTTCCCCTTTTTTTTGTTTTATCATTTTTTTGATGTTGTTAGAAAGCTTTTTTCAGGAATGTCGTGTCAAGTTGAATCGGAGGAGCACCAGCGACACCTGTTTTTGTATGCATTCAACCGAAAACTCAATGCCGCACAGGCTCATCGAGAGATTACTGATGTTTATGGACCCGATTTCGTGACCGAACGAACTATCCAGAATTGGTTTCAACGATTTCGGCTCGTTTGTCGAGGATCTTCTTCAACCAAATCAGCAAGTTTGTCCTCGTCGATTTCCGATGGTCTTCCTGTTTCGATGGTCTTCCGAGTAAATTCTACCAAAAAGATTTTATGGGGAATGGTTAACTCTAGGCGAAGCTACTAGAGTGCCCGTAATTCTTGAACACCCTGTAGTAGAGCATAATATAGTTTACTAGTTTAGTACCTTAAACAACGCTACAGAGAACACAACATTGTGATCTCGATATTCAATGATCTCGATAATTCTCGGGTGCGAAATGTAAACCGGTAAAAAGTAGCAAAGATGCAAAGCTAGGGATCTTGTAGCTAAGATTATTCGAATCAGTCTCTAATTGTAAGACGTGTATGACTAATCTAGACCAATGCTCGGCCAGAAGCTATCCCAGGTTCAGATATGGCCTCTGGACCCAGGTGTTACTGTTTAGGAAACTTCAGAAGTCAGACCGGACCTTAACCAAGCCAAAAGCTAGGTCAAGTCTTGACTTTGACTAAGCCTAGAAAAATTGCCTTTGAAACAATTCTAGTTTCAATGTCTCTCCAAAATACCAATCTTGAGCACATTTCTATAAACTTTGAGCAAATTTTGTTTCCAGAATTTAGGTACAAAGATGCAGCGACAATTTTCAATGATTCTCATCAATCAGGGAAATATTTGTGGAACACTGTCGGCGGATTTTGACGGTTTTCGCTTGTAATTCGATAAACAATTGAAATTGAATGTAAACCCTCGCCAATCGAAATTGAATGTAAGCCTTAAATCAAGCATCTGCTTATTTTTATCATCTTCAATCAATTTACAGCAATGTTCTTTGCAAAAATCATAGTTCCCACACACCAGAAAAAGAACAAAAGAAATGCAAAACAGAGACGCAAAAAGTCGTTGTTCTCGCCACTCGTTTCCAATTCTTTCGGCTGATAAAACTTATCACCTTTCAAGTCTGAACCCAAATGGATCCTGTTTTAGGCTCAAAAAAATTCAATTCAATTCAAAAGCTGTCAAATACTCTGTACTTTGTTTTTTATTCATTGAACTTTAAAAATGAAAGAAGATGATCATCCAGGATTATTTTCATTTCGGTAAATCTTTTTTACTAGTTAAAATTTTAACTTAAATCGCATTTAGTTTAAAACAAATGAAAAAGCTAGACAGTTTTTTAGCATTTCTTTCCGGTTAAACCAGTTGACTCGTGTCGTAAAATTTGAGCTGAAAATTCTAAGTCTAGACAACCAATACTATTGGGTTGGTGAATCGAAAACTGCGGGACTTTGAGCTAAAATTTATTCAATATAAAACCATCAATTTATTTCAAATAATTTCCATTATTATTGACAACTTCTGCCCATTTTACAGGCAATTTGCGGATTCCTCTTTCGTAGTAGGATTTTGGTTTGTGTGTGAGACAAGTGTGAGACTCAAAAATGGAGGACTGGAGATGTCCCAGTTTGAGCACTTTCTTCAAAAGAAACCCATTTTGGTGTCAATAGAAAAGTTTTAGAGAATCTAAAATTAGGCTTATAACCAAATTTGCAAAAAGATACACTTAGTAGTTTCGCTTAAAATGCAAGTTTTGTGAAAATTCGTAAATTTGGCATTTCTTGAAAACCAGTTTTTGAATCGTTCTGAAAATTTGGATATAAGCTTAATTTTTGATTCTCTACAGCTTTTCCATTGACACCAAAATGGATTTCTTTTGAAGAAAGTGCTCAAACTGTGACATATGACAATGGCCCGCAGTTTTCCATTCACCAACCCAATAGAATATTTGGTTATGCTTTCAATTTTTTGACTAACCCAAAGTCAATCCAAAACCAGTGATACTTGTAGCTTTCTAAAAAAACTTTACAAAAAGCTCATGTCAACAATTACTTCAGCTCCCACCGCCTCCGAATCAGTTTCCTCCTATCGATTGCTTTTTGTGTGACGGTATGCATGCGAGTAAATATGAGTCTTGGAGTCACTTGCATGGTAAGAACTTTCACTATTAACTGTTTCCTTTCAAACGTTAGATTTGTTTAAAGTTAGGTCAACGCGACGGCTTTTGCACCGAAATCGATCCTACTTGACAACGAAAGTTTACCGACAAGAAGCTCAGCAAGTTGTCATCCGATCAATGATGAGAAAACAGCACAGATTGATGGATATGGAGTGAGTTTTAAACAATATTTTGAAATCAAATCAAAGATTATCATTATAACTTTTAGCTTAAACTTTTCTTGAGATTTTCAGGGAACTCTCCTCTGGTCTCCGTCAATGACTTCAATTCTCCTTTCTGCTCCATTTTATGGTCAACTTGTTACAATGACATTTGCTGGATACTTAGCGGATCGCTATGGACCGAAACTTGCTTTGATGGGTTTGATAAACATTTAAGAACCCACTTAATCCACTTAATTAGGATCTGTCGTGAATTGTATGATCGGCACAGCGATGGGTCCATTTCTGGCTGTTCGTTCATATTGGGGTTTTTGGTGTTCGAGAGCGTTGCTCGGAGTTGGACAGGTTTGAAAAGACAAGACAAATAGCCAAATAGACAAATAGTATTGGGTTGGGGAGAATGAGTCGGCGCCCAACTTTAAAGGGACTTTTTGCACACATAAAGCCTTCTTTAAACATACGTTTGATTTCATCAAAAGGATCCACTATTTCTCTACAAAATCACTTTTGAGAGATTCCACAAAGCTTTTCTTTCGTGGAGTTTATGAACTTCCAAACGCAGCTGGTTAAAATGGCAAAGAGTCCGACTCATCATTTGAACAGTTTCTTTCACATAAACCTTCTTTGGTGTTTATATAAAAAAGATAGAGCACATTCAATTACTTAAGTTGCCAAATTTGCAGGAAGATCCCACCAATGGTTTTTCTAGATCACAGTTTGTAGTTTTTGTGAAAAAATGGCTTTTCTTGAGCGGAGGCGCTGTTTGAATTTTCTTTTAAATGTCATTTTGTAGAGAATTAGTTAACCATTCTACTCATATCAAACGCATATTATTTGACGAAGTCGAATAGAAGTTTTTGACATTTTTTTGATTTTCGGCGCCGACTCATTCTCCCCAACCCAATAGTTAAATTAATTTCTAATAAGGTTTTCAGACCTTTGTTTTCCCGAGCTGCAACAGCATGGCCGCCAAATGGTTTCCACCAGAAGAGCGAGCTACAATTGGCGCAATTTACACTTCAGGAGTTCAGGCAATAGAGAATTTAGACTAGAATACTCTTCAGAATCAACTTTAGCATGCAAAACCCCAAAGAAATATTGCATTTCTAGGTTGCAGCCGGATTTACGTCGTTCTTTGTGGCCGCTCTTTGCACTTCACCTCTTGGATGGCCTTCTATTTTCTACAGCTTCGGTAAGAGCCTCTAAACTTGTGATATTGCTATAATATACAATGTATTAGTTTCTGTGAATGAAATAAATTCAAAGTTATCTTAATGTTGATATCTTTTACTTAATAATTCTCAGATACTCAACCTTGCTTTAGGTCACTGTTACTTTGAAGTCTATCATTATTTTTATCCATCTTTATCCCATCATAAAGCACATACCAGACTTAATTGTGTAAAAATATAATATGATTTATAAAACCCAATGATTTATAGCTTTAATCGGATTCATCTGGCTCCTCTTCTGGAAATTCTTTGTCACTGATTTACCCTCTGAAAACAAATGGCTCTCCGAAAGTGAACAGCTCTACATAGAGAAATCGACAAACTCGAAGAAGAACTCACAACATTTTGTAAAGAATTCAATTAGCACAATACAACAAAAGCTTTAGAAAGAACAAGTCTTCCCGTGGAGAAAAATCCTGCTCAGCCGTGTCACTCAAGCTGTCTATGTGTCCCAATTCGCGTTCGGTTACTGTGCGGTGCTCATTCAAACCTATCTACCATTGTACTTGAAAGCAGAGCTTTATCTACCGATTCACAAGGTAGAATTAGACCAAAAGATAAAAGATTTAATAACTAAATCTTGGAAAACTGTAAAATTTCAGAACGGAGTCTTTATGATCACTCCATTCCTCTCGCAAATCATCTCAAAAAACCTTTTGCATTGATCAGTGACTATTTGAAGAGAAATGGTTATTTTGATCCGACCAGTCTTGGAAAAGTCTTCCAAACATTCAGTGAGTTGTTTTTTTAATGTGTTGAACAAATTGTTGTCATCAGGTTGCCTCGGGGTAGCTGCAAGTCTCCTCGGAATGATCTATCTTCCATCGTGTGAGAATTCTTGGGTTGTAATCCCAATTCTGACTCTTTATGGTAAGCAAATTCTATTTTAAAGATAAACTGAACTTTAGGTTCTGCATTCTCGGCTTCAATCCCTGGCTCTTTTGCCTCATTGTTGACTATTGCTCCACCGTACACTGGAACTGTTTCCTCGATCGCGATGGCCTATTTGACGGTGGCTGGGATTGGTGCCACGCAATTAGTGACGATTTTAGAGTTTCTCGTAAGTTTTGATTGCCTGCATTAGCTACAATGGTAGAAATGATATGTAGTTGTAAACTTAGTTTTCTAAAGTGCTATTATAAGTCAAACCTACCGTAAATACTGTAATTGTACCCCACCCTCTTCGTACAGTCGCGTAGTCGCAAAAGGCGACTACGCGACTAGCTAAAATAACGGAAATTCAGGGCTATTTTTTGATACCTAAGCGCGTATTGTAGCATAAATCAGTGTCGAGAAAAACTCGTCCAAAGCTAGGTTACGCAATACTCCGCACCGTCATTATGGGGTTGGGGTACTATTACAGTATTTACGGTAGCTAAATCACTGCTTAAAACTCGATCAATTCACCTGAAAGTGTCACTTATCCTTATCACTTCTCTTTTCAAGGAATGGCCAAACAAATGGACAATTGTTTTTGCCACAGGAGCCGCTTTAAATGTGTTTTCTTTAATGGCGTTTTTATTATTTGGAGAAAGTAAGTCAAAATTAGTTTTTGAACGATTAATCCATTTTTTTTAGTCAAAATCCAAGAATGGGCAGAGCTAAAAGAAGTTGACGCGGAAACTGCCGAATTGAAAGGATTAGTTCACAGCTGATACGATTCTTGAATTTGATTAAGATTTCAAATTACGGGTTTTTATAAACACTTTGAAAAGAGATTGTTTGTGAAAGAAGTATTTTTCAATGGCATACAGAGAAAGCAAGACAATTGGGTATTTATTGGATCAATGCAGTTGAAATAGCTAAATGTTTAAAGCATTTATTGGCGATTAACCACCAAACAATCTAAATCTTTTCCCATTTTTTGGCAGCTTTTGGCAGTTCTCGGATGGCCTTCTCATAAAAGACCTTCGATTTTCCAGCAAAAAAAAGTCCGACAGCCACTTTTTGACGTCATCTTCGGAATTGAAGTGCTGCCCAATTAGCTCGTTGACCGGAATAGATGATAATCACCTGGGGCAAGGTCCGGGCTATATCGAAATGAACCATTACTTTTAATCTGTTTACTAGGGACCAACGCCAAGTCAAGGTGAAGTTTCGAAAGGAGAGCTAGTGTATCTAAGAGAGTTTTGAATGCGAAGTCCGAATCTGCATTCACTTTTTCTCCAAAGATCTCTATGTCGCAAGATATCTGACATAAAACTTTTCGTTTTTCGTTTTTTTTTGGTTCTGTTATAGGCCTTCTTTCGCTATTCTCAAGAAGCGCTTAGTTAGCTCAGCACTAGTAAACTCGGAGAAAAGTAAATGCAGATTCGGATTCCCCATTTAAAAATCGATCAGATAACTTAAGTATTTCTTATTTCGAAACTCCATTTTGATTTGGTGCCTTTCACTAGTTACAATCGATAACGGAACTCTATATAGCGGAAACGGAACTCTATATAGCTTCTCTCAACAACGGAACTCTATATAGCTTCTCTCAACAACGGAACTCTATATAGCTTCTCTCAATAACGGAACTCTATATAGCTTCTCTCAATAACGGAACTCTATATAGCTTCTCTCAATAACGGAACTCTATATAGCTTCTCTCAATAACGGAACTCTATATAGCTTCTCTCAATAACGGAACTCTATATAGCTTCTCTCAACAACGGAACTCTATATAGCTTCTCTCAATAACGGAACTCTATATAGCGGAAAACTCTATCTAACGGAATGAAATTTTGGTCCCGACCGGACGCTAAGCTATTGAAAACGGCATTCTATATAACGGAAACATTTTTTGGTCTCTTCCATTCCGTTAGAGAGTCGACTGTAGCTTGGAGATATAGAGAACCCAATTTATTGTTGTTATCCTATTTTCAGAAGCAAGCTTTGATCAAACACTTGCCACGTTTCAACTCCATAATAAAGATCTTCCCGAAATGATGGTTACATTCTGCTTTCATTTTACTTATCTTTTGCCTTGTTTTTATTATAAAGAACTCTTTTGTCTGTGTAATGTTTGCAAAGTTGTTACGTAAAATTTCGCTTGAGCTTTAGTTAATAAATTTTAAAGCTGTTCATTTCTTCTTGCACACCAAATATGACAAATTGAGAGGCTCTGCGGGTTCAATTGGAATAGTCACCCATGAACCCTCGGCACAACAGCCTTTATCATCGCAATTCGTTATCTGAAACTTGATGTTTTGCTGAAAACATTTTTTTTTGCAATAGTTAGAAGTGTTTCTAAGGTTCCATTTCTAGAACAGACTAATTGTAAGTAGATTTTCAAACAATCCTTGTGCTGTCATTGTTTGTTAGAGCGTTCTGATATGATCAAAATTTTACTTACACTGATGGCCGCAGTCACATTTTCATGATCGAAGCAGAAATGATGCTCGTAATCAAACGGTGTCCCATCGGTCCAAGAAAACGTTTTATTGTCCTGAACAATAAAACAAATTGTTCAGAACAATGTTTACTTGTTCAGAAAAATAAATAAAATGAACGTTTTATTGTCTTGTTTTCAACTGTTTTCATGCGTAAGTTGTAAGTTGATTAAACCAACCTTTCTTCCACCAACAATGTACGCCGAATAATAACCATGATAATCATAGTGAGAAGATGAAGGACAGCACAAACCTAAACAGAAAAAGTCTTTTAATTAACAATAATTCTTGTAAAATTCTTGAATGATTTGTTGAAATAATTCAATTTTTTTAACTCAACACCAACTCGTGATCCAATCATTTTCCTCTTGACTGTGAATTGAGGTCAAATGCCCGCCTTGACTCACACAATACGCTTCTCCATCTGTGAAAGTGCTGTTGTAAAACACCTATAATACGTATTTCAGTATTGTATACTTACAAACCAAGTACTGATATCCGGTTATCGAATTGTATTGCCATCCTTGGCGACAATTGTACATTGGTTGATGATCAGCTGTAAAACCGGTAAAGTGGTTACGGTCAAGCTTTAAACTGATCAAATTTAAAGCTTCAAGAGCCATAATTGGCAGCTTTACTAGCACGAAAAACACCCTAATTTGCCAAAGTCTTATATTAGGTATGGGAGTATGAAATGGCTCCGACTTACAAAAATTTTTCTGCAACTCATAAAAAAGCTATTTAATCCATTGTTTGTATAATCAAAAAAGTCTATCATTGTTCTACAAAATGGCTTTTGAGAGATTCCAAAAAGCTTTTGTTTTGTGGGGTTTATGGGCTCCTAAACACAACCAGTCAAAATGACAAGAAGTCCGATTCGTCGTTTGACCGTTTTTTGCATATAAACTTAACTTGATTGCAAAACAAAAAGTTAAAGCACATTTAATTACATAAGGAGCCAAATGTTTGTAGTGATCTCGTCATTCATTTTCTCTAAATGATGCTTTATAGATTTTCTGCAAAGATGATCTTTATTGAAATGGGGCGCTTTTTTGAGTACTATTTTAATGATTTTTGTAGAGAAATAAATGACCTTTCTGATGAGACTAATGTCATTTGATAAAAACTACTCTTATAGAACTTGATGTTATAGAAGTTTCTTTGAAAGTAGGCGCAATTTCAGACTCTCCAACCCAATATCAAACTTTAAAGTACCCGTCATTGGTTTGGATCGGAAATGGATAAGAATCATTTCTAGGACTTATAGTTAGAAGGGATTCTTAGTATTTGGACTTTCTAGGACTAGAAGTCTAGATAAAAAAGGAGATACTCCAATCAAGTACTTAAATTGAAGTTTCCCTAACAGTAGTGCCCCCCCCGGCGAGCCGAGTTGATGACTATTTTACGGTTTTCAAGTTTTTACAGAAGCACAACATTCTAATCCCCCACTAGATCTCATTGTCAGCTACATTTTCCGACCCCACATCGATAGGTTCTGATAAGCAGTTTTCGAGATTTCGAGCAATTTAGGCGAAGCTTACGGTGCACTACTATTAGGGAAAATATGGTAATCTAAAGGAAATACCCTGTAGTCTTTGATGCTAATAAATGTTTTCATACAACAAACTGATGGAAAACTCTTTAGCTACCCAAAAAAATATGAACTACTCCTCCATGATCAAGGCACCCGAGGGAGCAAAGACTACTCGATATTCTAGAAGTTTATTTGAAAATCGGCGCAATTTGATACTCTCCAACTCAATCTCTATCTCCAACTCAATATCATGGTAGGCTTTAAGTGTAAGACGTTCTGTTAGCTACTGGTACTTACAAGGCAAACAATTCAATCCGTTGGGATCTGTCGTCGTGCTGAATGTTGCTGGCGTCTGAATTCTTAAAATTAACATTCTAAAGATCTAAACACCGTTTTCGGGAGATTTCCACAAACATTGATTATCAACTGAAGTATGTTGATATAATCAGAGATCGCTGGGCTTGGATAGTTTGAAATCGAACTTAAATCGACTCCATCTGAAATTCGAATAAGCGTTTTCAAATCCGTTTTATTTTTATCAAGGTTTTATCTCGGAAACGAAAGCAAATGTAAGATCATTTTGACTCATTTTGAAGAATTCTATATACTTTTCATAAAGATCTCCATCAGTTAAGCCATCATTTTTCATCTAATCCAATTTACCATTTAAATGCACAGCTATCGTTCTTGCTTGTTCTGTGTAGTTGGCGCCAGCAAGGGTGATGAAATTTTGCGGACTAAAGCAAAGGCTTTAGGTTTTTTGTTTCTTATGTAAACATTTCCCAAACCTAGCTGTATAAATGACTACCACAGCATCATGAATTTTCCATTGATTGAGCTTCGATGTGGCACTTAATCACGTAATTATTGAACCAAGAGTAGATGAATTTAGAATAAACAAGAATCAATTCTGTTTTTCTAAATTAGCATTTCAAGAGTAAAAACTGTACCCGAAAATCGTTTCGCTACCACCATTTTGGCTCAATTCTCGTACATTGTCATCAAAATCGTTGCTTGCCAAAAAGAAACTATCCGGAAATTCTTCATCATTATCACCGGCTCCGTACGCCCAAAAATTTGCCGAGAACGTGATGTTGCTTGATGAAAAAGCGAGACTAGCTGTAGTGGCGATTGAGGTGATTTCACCGCGAAAAGATTGCTGAAATATTTATCCCACTACTCAATAGAAATCCGTGTTTTTATATTTGTTAAACTTCTAGAATACTCACAGAATAACTCGATCCATCGATCACAAAAAGTGTTTGACAGTTATCAACAGCCAAAGAAGAATTGAGGAATAAATGATTCTAACGCTCACAGTTTGCCGACTTGAAGAATAAAAGTAAAAAGAAAAGCATTTTAACACTGAAAGCAATCGATTCTTCATAAAAACCTTGAAAATAATTTGCGATACGGGAACTTAATCGCCTTTGCAAAAAAAAGAGAACTAGAGAAGACTAGAGACGGTTAATGAAATTGACTCAAGTCGGTATGGTTACCTTTGTTTCGTAAATTGTGCTTAAAATTGTAGAAACATTCTTTCTAGTGCTCTCAATTTTACATTTTTCTCGCAGCAACGATGAAATGAAGAATTGAATGCACCAAAATGCATTTGTTTGCACTTTGATCAAGGCTTAGGCTTAGGCTTAGGTTTAGGCTTAGGCTTGGGTTTGGGCTTAGGCTTAGGTTTAGCCTTAGGCTTAGGCTTAGGCTTAGGCTTGGACTTAGTGCGAAGGCTAGCGGCTAGCGCCTCACACTAAGTCTATTTGGGTTTGGGCTAAACTCCCATTTTCTGGATCTCAGCTTAGGTTTAGGCTTAGGCTTAGGCTAAACTTTGCTGGTTTTTGGAACTACAGCAAACTGTAATCACTTACTATTAGAGACAAATAAATGAATACATTCAAATATCTATGTCTATTTATATAGAATAAGCCAGAAAAACCTGGTCTTCTGGCTTCGTGCAGGCGGATTTTATTTTCTTCACCCTTAGAGGAATCAAAACCCTGACCTTTCTCACTCAAAAAGTGTAAAAACAACAAAACCAAAAAAAATTGCATCTGGCAGAGATCGAACCCGAGACTAACCGAGCCCAACGTTGCTCAACTGGCAGATCGGACACCGGAATGCACTACCACTTGGCCACGCGGTAGCATGTATTCTTTAATTTCGCCTTTTTTGGAAAAAAACGGTCAAATTATGTGTCAAATATTATTAGATTTTTGGAAACTACATAAAAATTTAGGTTTATAAAGTCAAACTTCAAATCGATTCAGCCGTTTTTTTTGATTCAGCCGTTTTTTTCTAAAACAGTGGAACAGACACACAGACATACACGCTTATAATACGCTTACTCTTATAATATGTAGGATATCTACCGTAAATCCTGTAATAGTACCCCACCGCCCTCGTACGGCCGCGTAGTCGCTTTTTTAGTATTTCATTTTTTTTAAAGCGCCGGTACTTTCAAAAAATGCGTCTTTGGTATCAAAAAATAGCCCTGAACTTCAGCTATTTTTTGATACCTATGCGCGCATTGTAGCATAAACCAGTGTCGAGAAAAACTCGTTCAAAGCGAGACTACGCAACACTCCGCACCGTCATTATGGGGGTCGGGTACTGTTACAGTATTTACTGTATGTCTTTTAGAAATTGTAAAATTAGAGAACTAACTACATTTGGATGTTCAAAACTGTTGATTATCAAAGAAGAGTTATTTTCTGTAATTGAACCAAAAAGTTTTCATGTGTTTGTTGCGTTTCCATTCTAGGAAAAAGCAAATGCAGCTTTTTCCAGAATTTCTCTATAAGTCGAGTTTTTTAAGATCGTTAAAAATGGATGTCCATTCGGCTCATTGAAGGAGATGAGGCGCTGAAAATTGCGTTTACCCAATTACAGCATCCAGATGCCTTTCAATGGATGGGCTTGGGGGAAAATGATGATGAGAGGTCTTTCAGAAATGAAGAATTGATTACAAACCGCAAGCTTTTCAAACTTTCAATATGGTTTTTGTTTTGGTCTTTTGTTGCGAATAAATAGTTTGATTTATAAAATCACTTGAAAACGCTAAAGTTTTCTTTTGTTCTTCATACAACTTCATGTAAATTAGCTAATTTTTAATTTAAAACTCATTTTCCAGAGATTAAACCATGCATAGCCAAGATTTGCTTTCTATTTTGCACTAGAGGAAAAAGTGAAACACATTCTACACTCTAACTATCATATTGTCAATGTAAGAATGTTTTAAAATTAGTTTGAAGATAAAAAAATAGAACTTGTAGCTTTTTATAGAGATATTAAAAGGTTTTTAACTTATTAGCCCTTTCTAAAACCTGCTAATCATAAAATCAAAGTTGTTTACATAAAAATTTCTCTCATTCCTTTGTCGAGTATCTTCAAAAATTTCGACGAGGTCTGCCCCGCCGAGAAGAAGAAATGCATGTGAGGCCCATTTAAAGACGGCCTCGATTCGGGTGCTTTCCCCTCACTGAGATCTCTTTTTCTTAGAGAGCGTGAGAGAGACGGGGAGAGCTCTCTAATGCAATCCCCTCCTCGCTCGAGTGCCCACAAAAGGCCTAGCAAAAGGACAACAAAATCTATCGAAATGAATCCGAAAAGTTGAAATTTGGCGACGGCGTGTTTTTTGATCCGATAAAAAGTAAAGGCGTAGAATTTTAAGGAATTTTTGGCTTGGCTTGATCTTGATCTTGGTTTAAATCACTTGAAAATCTAGGATTTGAACCTTGATCTTGGTTTAAATCATTTGAAAATCCTCTTTAAGTGAAAATCTAGTATACTTTTTAATTTATCGAGTTTGTAGATGTAGAATTGTTTCTAAAATATATTTCTGATCTATTAAACTGTCCAGAAAGCCTTTCGCTTATTGTTAGTTCTATAAAAAAACTAGTAAACGTCATTCTATCTCTTCATTGCAACAAATCATGAGTTCAACTCCTTTTCTCATTTGTTCATCACCAACTTCTCTTTAATAATCTCCCCTGGCTCATTTTTCTTCCTAATCCTCACCGGAAGCAGGAAAAATGTAAATTCCCCTCCAATTTTTCTCTTCTGTAAGAAAAAAAGAAGATATTAGTCAATCTCTTCAGGATTTCAGCCCCCCGGGTCCCATGGGTGTTCGGTGGAAGGAAAGGATGGGGCAAAAAGAAAAGATTCTGCGCGAGAACTCGGGCAAAGCTTAGCGCCAGCCAGCCTTCTCTTTCTCCACCCGCTTAGTCATTTGCGTGCACGGGGAGACAATTTCCTCTTTTGCATATTCTCTCTGTATATTTCTCATCGCTCCCTCCTCTTCCCACCCAATTTCCTAATATGCCCCTTGCGTCTTTCTTCTCTTACTTCCCCCACTCCACCCTCACATTCTAGACACACATTTCCTAATAATAGTGTCCACAGCTGGATTTGCTAAGTGTCATCTGTGAGAAATATTGGAGAGTAATTGATTCTTGTGTAGAAATGAATTAGCAGCTTTGTTCTTGGTTTTTAGGAATCGATTAGGTTGGTCTAGGTTAGAGTGGATTGGTTTGGATTAGATTGATCAGTTTAGGCTGACTTAGCTCAGTTCAACTGGTTTAATAGTCTAATTTTGACTGACTTGGTGATCTAGTTGTAGGTTTGATTAACTTGGTACTTGGTAATCCAAGTTGGCTTGACTTGCCTTCAGTCAATGTTTTACCTGTATAGGATGAGGCAAAAGTTCTGTTCTTTTTAGAATTCTCTCTAAAAGCTTTTTAGTTGATTTTATTTCATATGTTTTCGCCAAAAGATAGCCAATCTTTTACAGAATTAAAATCTTATTACAGTTTTTAAATAACTTCTTTAAATAGCTTCTTAAATACTTCCTAACTTCTTAAATGACTTTAGAGTTATCGCTATTCTATGCTCTTCGAAAAAAGTATCTGTGATCGCATCTATTTTAGATTTGAACTTTTATCTCAAATTGTTCCATTCATGAATCTATAACGTAAAGAAAAGAAAGCTCTTTTGATCTTTCTTTTGAGCTCAAAGAAAAGCTATCAATAAATGGGATCATTAGTTAAAGTATGATATGGACAATCGAGCCATCTCCCTTTATTAAGCAATCAATTTTGATTTAAAACTTCTGCAGTTTTTTTTCCATTGTGCCAAATTCGTGCAAAGCACCTTTTCACACTTGAAACAATACTTTTTTCAAAAAAAACGGGGTGTGGGTGTTCAGAGAAGCATCACAGCAAAGAGGGATTCGTGGGGCATTTACCCGCGACCAGAGACTGACGTTTTGCCTCGTCGCCCCTTTCCCCCTTCCCAGCCCTTTCCCATTCCATTCTTTTCTTTTCCTTTCTCCATCCTCTTTTCATCCTCTTTTCTGGAAGGCACAGGGGCCATCGATCGGCCTCCGGGGCCTTCCCCATTCCCCTTTCCATCGCTTTACTTCCCTGGACCCTGTGGCCTGCCCCACGAATTCTCTCTCCCTACTGGCTTTCCCCACTCATTCTCACTTCCCTTTATAGTTATTTGACTGGATTTTTTTGAGAAACTTGAATCAGTTCCTCTAGCAATTATCCTGAAAAACATTTTCCTTCTATAGAGTGAATTTTTCGATTTCTTTTGCGTGGTTTTCTTGAGTCAATACTCCCCCGCACTAACTTTTCTTTTAGACTTCTGGTTATTGAACTAAAAAAGTAATTCTTTTTAAATATTATGTAGAAAACACGTTGACTTACATTAGTATTAGATTTTACCAACTTTTTAAGCCTAAAATTGTTTTATTGATCCGCATGTTTTAAAGCAATTAACACTTCTCTAATAGTTGACGATTAGAGAAGTGTATTAGACCTAAATACCCTAAAAATACATAGTCAAATTTAGAGCTGCCTAGTTTTAAGTTTACAAAACTTTCTAAAGCTTTTCATTGAAAAATTTTGATTATAAAGTTGTTGCAATGTTCTACTGTGCTGATTTCAATCTTTTTTTTTCATTCAAGATCTCCATTCGAATTTTTCTAATTAAAGCAAATACTGAATGGATTCAATCTCATTAACGATTAGATTGAATGCTAAATGAATTCTTTATCTTTTTGATTTTCCTGAGAAATGGGCTTTCTCTGCTTTGTTATTGAAAATGAGTAGAATTTCTGTTAGAAGCCATACTTGAAAAATGGCTTGGTTAATTGACTCAGAATCGATTCAGATTTATGTCGGGCGAGAGAGGATAACAAGAAGAACGTTGAATGAGTCTTTGAATGTTTGAAGCGCTCAAAGAGGTGCTTGGAGAGATCAACAACAAGCTCACACAGGTTTGGATGAGAGATTCAGTGGATTGGAAGTGGACAAAAGACTACTGAAAATGATTAGCCATATATCTAACCAGCTAAATCTAAATCTGCCTAACGCGGGATTTTCCTAGCTGGATGTTGTCGAGCCGTTTTGTCAGGCTTGTCAGGTTTTGTCGAGTCGTCAGCACGCAGTCGGTGGCGCGCTTGTCCACGACCCACACGATCCGGGTTCGACCCCCGTAGTCCCATGCAATCTTGACTTTTTTATTTTTTATTTAAATGGTATAACTTTATTATATTTTGAGACTTTTTAAAGAAATTTCAGTTCTTTGGCTTAAAGATGGCTGAGAAAAAGTCGTAGATTAAGCCGATACTTTGATGGTTGGCAAAAACCTCGAGCCTGACTTGCTCGGCCTTGACAATTGGTTCACCCAATCTTGGTTACAAGCGTCAAATTACCTTTGTCTAATAGTTTTATGAAACTGTTACTAGATCCAAATCATTCAAATCATGTCAAACCAAATCCAAATAAACCTATCCAAATCAAATCTGTTGCATTGCTTATCTAATGCTTGTTCCATTTGTTCGTTGTTTAGATCATATCAATGCTCAATTAAATCATCAAATTTCTTACTTTTCACGTAGATTAGATTAAATCCTTAATCTCCAGCCAATTATCATAAATCTTTTTATCTTTTTATTATATCCTTTTCATTATTATAGCTCACTAGTTACAAATCAATCACAACAAACCTTTAAATTCAGCGCTGAACCTTAAACTTATTGGATTGGTGAATTGAAAACTGCGGGCTATTGTCATATGTGACAGTTTGAGCACTTTCTTCAAAAGAAATCCATTTTGGTGTCAATGGAAAAGTTGTAGAGAATCAAAAATTAAGCTTATATCCAAATTTTCAAAACGATTCAAAAACTGGTTTTCAAGACATGCCAAATTTACGAATTTTCACAAAACTTGCATTTTAAGGGAAACTACTAAGTGTATCTTTTTGCCAATTTGGCTATAAGCCTAATTTTTGATCCTCTACAACTTTTCTATTGACACCAAAATGGGTTTCTTTTAAAGAAAGTGCTCAAATTGGGACATCTCCAGTCTTCCATTTTTGAGTCTCACACTTGTCTCACACACAAACCAAAACCCTACCACGAAAAAGAAATCTGCAAATTGCCTGTAAAATGGGCAGAAGTCGTCAATAATAATGGAAATTATTTGGAATGAATTCATGGTTTTATGTTGAATAAATTTTAGTTCAAAGTCCCGCAGTTTTCAATTCACCAACCCAATAATATTCCCATCATTATTTCTCTGAACCGTTTAATACAAGGAAAATGCATAAATGATTCATTCATTCATTTGAGAATCATGCGCGTTTTACATTCGGATTGCATTCGAGTATTTTATGGGAATTGATCTCCCCTGCAACCACTGCACATTTGTTCCCTTTCCCATGCAAAAGAGGGCACCACCTGCGCCCCCAAGGGAGAAATTTTGGGGGAAATGAGTGAACAGGGAAAAGTGGGAAATAAATGACACCACTAGCTTTTTGGAAGAGTGGAAAGTTGCAATTGGTGTTCGGATTGATGTTTGGTTTAAAGTTGAAGTTAAATGGATCAAAACTTACAATACTGAAGCCTCTAGTCGTTGAAATTTAGCCTAACTGAGACAACTACTAGCTTTTGAAGAGCTGGTCGCCACAACTGAAAATTGCCCACAATGGTGGCTAACTTGTAGTTGTCAAACTTTTATTGTGTTATATTTGATTGTAAACAATTTTTAATACGAAACTGGACACTAGTTCGTAATTCAAACCCATTTCTTTGACTTGCAAGAGTTACAAGTGTTTAAAATCTTGTTTAAAACATTAAAACAAATTCCTAATTTCCATTTTCAGGTAAATGATGAGCTGAACACCCGAATGGCAACCGAAAACGGCGGTGCGACACGAGCCGCGCCTCAAGTGCAGTATGTTGGACCATACAAACTTGAGAAAACTCTTGGTAAAGGGCAAACTGGTGAGTACCAAGCTTTTTATATTCAAGATTTCTTTATGTTAATCATATTTACTCAAAAGAATCGTTTTGAGACACGTCGTGCTTGGAAGAGCTTGTCAAAGAGCACTTGTCAAAGTCGTCAAACTTTTTGCTTTTCTTTTGTTTTTGATTTATGTCAGTAATTCGGAGAACAAGTTCTGATAGCTGGAATAATTTAAATTGGCATCAAACATTATAGAACACCTTGAAATTAAAAGAATAGTTTCTTACTAAGCCCATAGGTTTTAATTTCAAAACTTCCATGAGCCGGTTTAATTACCCAAGTGCCAACTCTGGGAAATCTTAATTTCAACTTATTTTGTCCTAACTTTGTAGGTTTCTCTCTTAGAAAAATGTGAATCTTTTGCTAATTTTTATAAAAATGATCTAAACACGATAATTATCGTAGTGGTGTACTCGAGTGAGTTGGGAGCGGAAATCGCGGTAGTTCTCCCAAGGGGCACATTGTTCAACTTGAAGCTGGAAACCCTTGAGAACAAGAGCCGTTGGGAACAAAATAGAGCAAAAAGTTTTGAGTATTAATAAAGAAGTTGTCTGGGACCTCTAGAAAATGAGTAATTATACAGTGCATTTCAAATTCTTAAGCGCACCCTTCAAAATCAAGATTTTTACATCTTGAACAACGCTGCAACTATTATTCCTTTTCTATTGGAAACCTTCCTAACCTTAGACCAATCCTGGTTCATTTGAGCCTTGACGAACTCCAATCGGGCTCTCTTGTGGCAAAAACGTCAAATCCAGTTGCTTGTTCAACAATTGTCAATCGATATGTGGGTTTCCCTGACGGCTCGCCAAATTTTTGCCTTTGAAGCGTCGATTTTCAGTTTCGTTTTCACTTCATTGATCGTTTTTCCATGGATGTTGTTCACAAATGGCACTGGGGGGGGGGGGGGGGGGGGGGGGGGGTGGAAGCTAGCTCGTGGTGTAAGCTAGCTTTGGTTTTGGTCCTGGCTTCTTCTTTGATGCAGAAACGAGCATCGACTTGATATAAATTCGGATCACAGTCGGATCGACCCAAATCTTTTGCGATTTTCCTTATTGAGTTTGCTTCTCCGCCAATCTTCAAACGCGCATCAATCTGACCTTCCTTATAATCCGTGCAGTTTTCCGTGCAAGCAGCTTTCCCGTGCAAGCAGCTTTCCGTGTGCCATTTACCTGGAAATTAACAAAAATTATAAATTTAATAATAAAATATGCACGACAAAAGGAAAACTTTTAAACAACAGTAAACACGGTGGGCTTAAGAATTTGAAACGCACTCTATAAAACCTAAATAAATAGGCTTTGGTTAAACGTATAATTTTAAAATTTCAGAATAGTTTCAGCTATCTGTCCCTTAAACAATTGGTTAAGCAATGGGTGAGAGTCTCGAGAGTTTGAAATTGAGTAAACTGTGATTGGAATCCAAAAATTTCCATAACAACTATAGCTAGACTTGTAAAACATGAAAATTATCAAAAATTCGATTTCAGGTCTTGTGAAAACGGGAACTCATTGTATTACGGGACGAAAAGTCGCGATCAAAATCGTGAACAAGGAGAAACTCTCGGAATCTGTTCTGCAGAAGGTAAAGTTTTTCAATTTTTAGACTACAGTCGATTTTCCTTGAATCCTACTTGTTTTCAATATATTTTGAACACTCGACCACTTTCCATTTTTTGCTGGGGATTAGTTGGGCAAGCGACAATCCATCAAATGGATCCCAAGAAGGAAAACAAAGCACTGATTAGAGCATGGAGAAGAGAAGATTTGAGATTATGTTTGAAATTGTTTGAGATTTGAGATCAGACAATGTTTCGAGGCTTGTGGTTACAAAACATTATAGTTTTACAAAAGTCTGTCAATTTCAGGTGGAACGAGAGATTGCCATCATGAAACTGATCGAGCATCCAAACGTTCTTCATCTCTACGATGTCTATGAGAATAAGAAATATTTGTAAGTAATTTTCATTTAGGAATAGTAGAAGAATGTTAATAGCATTCTTCTACTATTCCTAAATCAATTGGCCTTATAAAAAACTAGTTCTACATTTGAAATGACAATTGGGCTGTCGATTGTACTCGGGTTCAGATCAAGTACAGTGAGTTCAGAGCTACAGGTTCAGATCAAGTACAGTAACATTAGTCTACAGTAATGTACAATGTACATGTAACATTTGATCTGTCCAAGTCAGTATTGTTAAGCAGCCATATTAACTCCGCCCCTTTTTCGGTCCGTTTGCCGTTGGCAATCTACAAATTTTGCTCGTACCTTGACTGGGTTTGTTTGAAAAACGTTGAATTTGCTTTCAATCGATAGAAAATTTGATTTTGAGTCGAATGAAAGCAAATTCAACCTTTTTCAAACAAACCCGACTAAGATAGCTAAGCAGCTAAGCAAAATACTCAGATTCCCAACGACAAACGGACCGAAAAATGGGCGGAGTTAACAGGCCTGCTGTTAAGATACAGATACTTGAATTACTTGACTCAAATAACACCAGAACAATCCTAACTTCAACATCAATCTTTATTTAGATACCTGATTCTCGAGCATGTTTCTGGCGGAGAACTATTCGACTATCTAGTTCGAAAAGGACGGCTGATGTCAAAGGAAGCGAGGAAATTCTTCCGCCAAATCATTTCCGCTCTCGATTTTTGCCATGCGCATAATATTTGGTAAACAAATCTTATTTCTTGTCTCATTCTTGGAAAATCTATTTAGTCATCGAGATCTGAAGCCGGAGAACTTGTTGCTTGACGAAAGGAACAATATAAAGGTAGGGTTTGGAGTTTTAAACATTTGTCTATATTACAAATTTCTCGCGAAATCTTTCTGATAATCTGATTTCCTCAAATTCATTAAACAAGGCTGACAGATTGCTTTCAGGTGGCTGACTTTGGAATGGCTTCCCTTCAAGTGGAGGGATCGATGCTGGAGACAAGTTGCGGCTCACCTCATTATGCCTGTCCGGAAGTGATCCGGGTAAGCACACAATTCTAATTGCTGAAACCTCAATGCTCAACGAAAATTGATACAACCGTTTAGGGTGAGAAATACGATGGCCGAAAAGCGGATGTCTGGAGTTGTGGTGTCATTCTCTATGCTCTATTAGTGGTGGGTTTATAAAGACAAATTTTTTTCGAGCTCTATCAAACCTTTCATTACCAACAAGTTTATTTTTATTTTTGTTTACAGGGAGCACTTCCTTTTGATGATGATAACCTACGAAATCTTCTCGAAAAAGTGAAAAAGGGCGTCTTCCACATTCCCCACTTTGTCCCTACAGATTGTCAAAATCTTTTGAGGTCGATGATTGAAGTTGACCCACAAAAGAGATATTCCGTGAGTTTTTCTATGTAACACTTGGACATTTTTTGGCAAATATAATAATAAAATCGATCCATTTAGTTATCCGAAGTGTTCCGCCATCCCTGGGTTGCAGGGAGCACTCGAAATGATCCCGAACTCGAGCTACCCATGGCCCAAGTTGTTCAGGTAACTGGATTACAAACTTTTCACTTTACCAATTGAATCTAGAGTTTTCTTTATTTAGCTAAACTTCAAGATTGTAGGACATTTCATACGCACCCTGCCCTTTTGCCATTGGCAATCCAACTTTGAGCTCAAATATCTAGGTCTTGAGCTGTTCAATTTAAATATTCTTGCTATCATTAGATGCGCCAAGTCTTTCTCTGTTGATCGGTACAAAAACTATTGGATTCAACAGCCCAACACCAAGATATTAGAGCTCAAAGTTAGATTGCCAATGACAAAGGGGCGCGTAAAAGGTCCCATAAACCCGCCCCTTTTGTCATTGGCAATCCAACTTTGAGCTCAAATATCTTGGTGTTGGGCTGTTCAATTTAAACAGTTTTTGTACCGATCAACAGAGAAAGACTTGGCGCATCTAATGACTTCAAGAATCTTTAAATTGTACAGCCCAACACCAAGAGATTTGAGTTCAAAGTTAGATTGCCAATAGCAAAAGGGGCGGGGCTTATCAAATGTCCGACAACCAAACTTTAAATTTAGACCCACATCATTCCCTCTGAAGACAGTATAGATCCCGATGTTTTCCGACACATGTCGAATCTCGGATGCTTCAAGGATAAAGAGAAACTCGTTAGGGAACTCTTGTCTACAAGGTAGAATTGTTTTAAGACTTGGCAAATGGTGTGTTCAGACATAATACGGAGAAAATGGTCTACTTTTTGCTGTTGGATCGAAAAAAGGAGGAGACCGGCACAAGAAGATGATACGGAAGTGGTGCTGAGGGGAGCCACTGTGAATGCGGATCCGCCAAGAAAAAGAACGGATAGCAGCAGGGCGAATAGGTAAATGATTAAACATTGGTTGATTGCGATTCATAAATCTTTTTCTTAGCTTTTAAACTTACTGAAATTCGACTTTTCAACTTCCAGATATGCTGTTGGTAGCATAGCCGATGGTAGCCCGATCAACCCGAGGAAAACCTATGGGAGATACAGAAGTGGAAGACACTCCTCACTTGGTGGCTCACCCAATGAGTCTCCACGATCTTCTACAAGAGATCTGTTCAATTTCTCCTCTTCAAGCAACAATAGTTTCTCTGCTAGAGGTTTGAACAGCTTAAATTACAGTAGACTTGTAGCAAAAACATCTGTCGGTCCTTTGCCATTGGGAATTTAAGGTTCCTCGTGTTTTTCTCAGCCCCAACCTTTCAATTTTGACTATTTTGACTATCATTTGATGCAGAAGAAGATCGCTCGTTGAATAATATCAAATTTAACTCAAAATATAATATACATGCAAAGTTACGGTTAATTCCCGCCCATAATGGGCGGGGTTTAGGATTTGAGCCAAAAACTTTGCATATATACTATATTTTGAGTTACATTTGGTATTATTCGACGCGAAATTTTATTCTGCATCGAATGATAGTCAAAAATAGTCAAAATAGAAGCGTTGGTGTTGAGAAAAACACGGAAAACGAAGTTCTGGGCGGGACTTAGCCTTTTGCAGCTGGCAATTTAAGGTTTTCTCAGCACAAACGCTTCGATTTAGCCTATTTTGATTATCATTCAATGCGGAATAAAATTGCGCGTCAAATAATACAAAAATTAACTCAAAATCCATACAAAGTTGTAGGCTAAAATCCTAAACCCCACCCATTATGGGGGGGAATCAACCTTTTGCCTCGTAACTTTGCATGTATATTACATTTTGAGTTAATTTTGGTATCATTTGAAGCGCAATCTTCTTCTTCATCGAATAATAATGATGATCAAATGATCAAAATAGTCAAAATTGAAAGCTGGGGGTTGAGAAAAACACGAAAAACCTTAAATTGCGAACGACAAAAAGGACCCACAGATCTTTTTCCGTTACAAGTCTAGATTACAGTAAATTCAGGTTTTGAACCAGAGCGAAGTCGTTCGACGACCAGAAATCAGAACAATTATCACTATTACACGCAACCGGTCGATCCACAAACTTTGGCTGAAGCTGCAAGACATGTGAGACAAGCGAGGGAACAACAGGTGAGAACTGGAAGATGATAGTCCTTAGAAACAACTCAACTCTGAGTCGTTTGTGCCAAGAATTCTATGAAATAAAAGTTATTTGCACAAGGTGGAGCGGTAGTTCAAAGCCCAACTTGTACAGCAAATCATTCAATCCCAGGAGCGACAATCAGCCGACCGACAACCATCGTCCGATCCTACAAGAACTTCTCCTCCATCCGGTGTCCCATCTCCATCCTATACACAAACAGTCAACCCAATGACTGAATCGACACTCTCGATTGGAACTGGAATCACTTCGAACGCTTCTAGTACAAACAGTCTAATCACAGGTTTTTTCAAGCCTTTAAGTTTAGTTCTAATTCTTTACAGGAAATTCTCAAAATCAACTTGGCTCCTCATCAGGTCCTTGGAGAATGAAGCTATCGAATATCAAGAATTCGATCATGGGAACACCGAGATTCCATCGGAGAAAGATGAGCAATGGACAAGAAAGTGATGGGGAGGATTCACAGATGTTGGACACTACTGAGTAGGGAGAATTGAAACTGAAAAGTCTAATCATTATTCAGCTTGGTGAAAAAGTCATGGTTTGGCTCATTGACATCGTCGATGAGTGTGGAGAGGGATGATACTCATTGTGTGCCTGTACAAGGGAGGACATTGAATGGGATCAAAGCTGAGCTGATTAGAGCGTTTTTGACGGTTAGTATTGAAGATAAGCTTTGGTTTTAAAGTTATCAAAAAGTTATCTTTCTAATGAAACAAACTGTAGCTCAATTGGATCATTTATTGGTTTTAAGCGGAAGTATGAAAAGGAACGAAAAGACTTTCTGAAAAAGCCATTCAGATACACGAGTTGTCCCACTCGGTTGTCGGCCAAAACTGTTTCCGAGTCGAGTACAAAAGAGGACCAACGTATGGCGGAAGTGTTTTAGTCGAGGAGTCAAAATGAATGTGAGTCTGCAAAATCATTCTCATCCACAAATTATCTAGGTCGACATAATCACAAGCCCCCAACAATCACCAAGCGAACCACCAATGTACGTTGTGCAATTCTCTTTGCTAGCAGGTGAGACAATCTTTATATTTTTTTCAAGCAATATTCAGGTCCCGTTCGACGATTCAAGCGCTTGGTTGAGCATTTGAGCTCAATATTGCAGAATGCCACGCAGCAGAGGTTCAATATATATAACACCGTTCGTCTGTCTGTCTGTCCGAGACTTTTATTCGGGAAATTGAGCTAGTGGGCTGAAAACTCCCATTTTAGGGTAAAAAATTTGCTGATTCCGAATCTGAAGTCCGTTTGTAAAATAATTCATTTCCCGCTGAGTTATTTGACTTTAAACTTTACAACAGCCGCCCAATTTGCACTTAAGAATCGATTCAAAGCTCAACAACTGTTTGATAAACTAAGACAAGACAAAAAGATCAACCAGCCTTGTCATTGTACTGATTTCATTTGCTATTGCTTTTGAAATAAAATCAAGCCAAATGAAGTCTGAATTAGTTGAGCATGGTTAACTGATGTTAACTGATCTAACTGACTCGAACCAAATCACTCTAGATCGGAGCGTCAAGCCGCGCAACAGATGATGGTCCGTCCTCGTCGTCTCTCCGACTCGTCGGTGAGCAGTGCATGCAGTGATGGTGGTGGAGGATCGGAGGGACTTTCCATCCCACAAAGACAACCAGTGCATGCCACCTCGTCAATGGGTCCAACGGGGAGCTCTGGGAGAGAGATGACCACCTCATCTCTCTCCTCTCATCTTCCCTCCCATTTGGTGCATCAAGGATCTTCCGGACTTCTCACTCATGCGGTTCGTGTCGGGAAAAAGTAGATTTACCCGACCAATCTTTAAGAAGAAGAAGTGCTTTCAAAATCTGTTCTGTTACAGTGAACATTTGAATTTGTCATTTGAATTTGCATTTGAACTTGTCATTTGAACTTGTCATTTGAATTCTAATCTCAAAATCTATTTGAAAGCATTTCTTGAACCTCAATAGACCGTAGATGAGTAGAAGTAGAGACAGATCATCGATTTCGTTCAATTGTTTGAGATTGTGATCGAGATTTGGTCAAATACCTGCTTGCAATGTGATTTGTAGGGTTACTGTGACTTTTGCGCATGTAAAGAACGATACTGTACGTTGGTATTTTTGAGTTTGAGTTTGATACGAAAAGTTTGTCAAAGTATTGTCCATTAAACTAGTATGATTCGTTTACATTCATCAATTTTAGGACAAGATCGAGTCGCAAATCCAAGTGGAACCGGTTCAAAACTCGTACAATCGTCACTCAAGCTCGATGAAGTCCGTTGGCTCAAAGAGTAAGTTCAAATTGTAATAATTTCTATCAAAAAACATTCCAATTCAGGCTAACACTTAAAAGAAAAAGGTGAGTTCAATGCTGGGGTTGCACGCTTTTTTTTAGACTTTCATTTCGCCAATCTGTAATTTTCAAATATCATTTTGAGGCTTTCTAACAGTAGAAAAGTTCTTGATCTAACCAATATTTTGATTGCTTTTACTTTTCCAATCTTTACTTTGCTTAAACTTTTTAAAATGAAACGATCTTTGCGTTAAAATTTGAGAAAAACTTCCAGAGCGCTTGAAAAACGTACCTTTATCCTATAGCCTTTCATTTGCTGTGTAAAAACTGTGCAAAGTATCAAATCTCTTTATATAATATAAAAACTTTCGATACACTGTACAGATACTAATCAATTCTTGAAGTACTCTCCTCAAATTTCAGGCCAGGATTATGGTAAATCCCCGATTCCACAGCGACGCAACACCACCGCTGTGATCATTCAATCGAGGCAACAATTGTCCCGATTTGCCTCCAATCCAGTGGCCACTCTATTGGGCAAATCCGGGGATTCTTCTACAGCTAAAACAATAGCATCTGATTCGAATCCGAGTTCTCCGCGATTCACCAACGCTCACCCATTTGCCCATTCCGAGCCGACGACCCCAAAGTGGTGAGTAACCTTTGAAAGGGTATAACAAAGTCGGCACTTTGTTATACAAAGTCGGTATAACAAAGTCGGTACTTTCCTGTTATACCCTCGCAAAATTTCTTCCTCCATCAATCCTGCAAATTTTGCATTTTAAGAGCTTCAAAGTAACAGATTCCAGTTTGAAGATATGCAAATTTTAATAATGCTAATTTTGCGGAGATTTAACAGGATTGTACCCGAGTTTTTAGGTAAGCAATGAAATCAAACTTTTAAAAACAAAACATTGTGAGCTCCTGGGTAACTTGGATCAACCGTACACGAATGAAGGGGCCTAATTGGTTTCCGCTTCTAACTCTAACTAACTTCTAAACTTACCCAAGCTTTGAAGGAACGGATATACCAATGTTCCCCATAAGATCTCTTTAGTTTTTCTTTTTAGTCTACAATATTCAAGACTTCAGATTAAGATGTAATTTGAAAACAGAAAGACTTTTTCTTCTGAAATTTCTCATCAAAAAGAATTTATGTGTTACACTCGATTTTCAAAACTTTTTAACAGAATAATGTTTTTATATTAAAATCACTAAATTAATAAACAAATTATAGTTTTGCATAAGTTCTTTTAAAATAAAATAATGCATTTCTTTTGTAATATTTTTGATAAACTATTGTTTGAAATTTAATTAATCAATAAAAAAGGGGCTTGATTGCGATATCTTTAAGATAAACCTTTCGTTAAGGTACTAAAGAGCTGAACAAAATTAGATTTGTCTAGATTTGGTTTAAAAATTTAATTAAATTCTTTGTAAAATGATTTTTCTAGGTAAAAAGTGATTTCGAAGATAAAGGTTTCAAAATCGGAAGATTTTCAAAACAAAACTATTTTCAAATCATAGCGTAAATATTCTAATAGAAGAGCCAGCTTCTTGCTCCGCTAAAGCCAGTGTCCTGTTCCTCTAAAACCAGCTTCCTGTTCCTCTAAGCTAGCTTCCTGTTCCTTTAAAGCCAGCTTCCTATTCCTTTAAAACCAGCACCAGCTTCCTGTTCCTTTAAAGCCAGCTTCCTATTCCTTTAAAGCCAGCTTCCTATTCCTTTAAAGCCAGCTTCCTATTCCTTTAAAACCAGCACCAGCTTCCTGTTCCTGTTCCTGTTCAATGTTCCCCTAAAATTCTTTATCGTGTCCTAGCTACAGTATATCCAGATCTTCAATAGCTCAAAAATGGCTGTCTTTGTTGCATTGTCATCCGGTTTTCGACGTCATTAAGCTTTTTTAGTCTATAACTATTATTGGAGCTTTGGAGGCTTTAAAAAAGTTGAACATTTTGCTTGAGAAAATTGACAAATTTGAAAAAATGAAAAACTTCGTTTAAAGGGCACTCTTCTAGTGGAATAAATAGGGTATGCATAGCTACGAGAGAATAATAACGTACAGGCATCGTTGAAAAATATGTATGTAAGCAAAAATCGCATTTTACTGATTAAAAGTCTTTAAATTAGCTACAAAAAAAACTTATCCTACAAAAAACAGGCTAAAAATTACTACAAAATACATTCTAGTCTGAGTCATTGTTGAATTTGATACTTTTTAATTCATTTTTCACAATAAATCAATCCTTTTCAGCCTCACCATGCCCTCTTCTAATCCCTACTCCGGCCGACCGAATCTTTCTATTATGGGAACTCCTGATCATGTTTAGATTTATAATATATATTCCTTTTTTTTCTTTAATGTTTAAATCTATTCTTTATTTTGCTTTTTTTTTTTGTTGTTGGTTGATTTCCAGGTAGGATCTCCACCCGTTTGTGTTACCCAAGTTTGCCCCGAAATTTGTCTGATTTTGCGAAAATCTTTCATGACTTAATTGTGCTTTTGATCATTTGTAGTCATTTTAAGTATGCCTCTTGCATTTATGCTAACTTCTTTTCATTGAATTCATTTTTCCCCATTTGCCTCAGCTAGTCGCAAATTTTCACTATGTTTACTCAAAAAAAAATCACCAGAAATTCCGGGTCTATCCCAATTTATTTTCGATTACAGTACTCTTGTTTAGTCTCAAAGTTTAGACCAATTCTGAAATTTTCCTAAACCAATGTCAGAAAATTTTTCTCTTTGATCAGTTTTGAATATGTTTTCAAGATTTTGAATAAAGATTTTAAAGTTGACAGAAGGAATTTGAAAGTTTTTGGAAGACTTAATAGCGGCTTATAATCGCAGCCTTTAAAAATCGCTGTTGGTTGATTTCCAGGTAGGATCTCCACCCGTTTGTGTTACCCAAGTTTGTGTTACCAAAAGTCGCTGTTTTGATCTTTTGAAGCTTGAATTATGTAAAAGCTTATAACTCTTTAACTCTAACAGCTTCCTAATGTCCTAAAGGTAAAAGATAATCTATTTGTACCAAAGGATTTATCAATTTTTCAAACTTACCCGAATTTCGAAGGAACAGATATACCCGTTACGTCCCAATCCGAAAGCTATTTTTTAGTGGCTCAAAAAAATAACCAAAAATAACGTGGAATAGCTTAGAGCAAGATATGTAGATTCTTAAAGTAAAGCTACATGTGAAAAAGTTAATTTAGTAAAAATATGGAATTATTTCGGATTCGGATGTCCGAATCCGAACTAACCTTTTTAGGCGTCCGAATCCGAACTAATTTCATATTTTTCCATTAACTTTTTCCAAAAATAGCTTTATTAGAAATCTAAAAATAGAATCTATAAGTCTTGTCCTACAAAATGACACCAAAATCATCACAACCGGCCCACTAGTTTTGGAGATACAAGCACGCAAAGTGACCCAGTCAAGGATTTAGTACGGTTTCGGACCTAACATATCAATGACTATTCCCCGTCTCAAAGGAACACTTTGAACCTAAAAAAGCATTTCTATTTTGTATTTAAAATAGTACCCAAATACCAGTTGATTAAAGCCTTTCAGGGTATTCATTTTTCACTTTTGCTCAGTTCAACCTGTTAACTCAATGCCGATTCAATAATTTTTTCTTGTGTTGACTGAGGAGCGAGGGTAAAAAAGAAATATTGAGTCAGCTGGACAAACAAAAATCGGCCTATGCCTTTCTATTATACTCTAATCTATAGATTTAAAAGCTAAATCGGGTCAATAAAACCATCAAATAAGTACATAAATCATAAAGCTTGATTTGAGCAAGCCAAAATACTGAAGCCAAAAGATATTGGACAAGCTCGACAGATCTGTCTTGAAAAGAACAAAAACTTGGCCAAACCAGTTCGGAAATAATCTTATGTTCCTATTATTATATTTTTATATTATATTTCATTTTAATAGCATTTCCGTTGTGAACATTTCCTCAACTTCCCCTTTTTTCTTTCTGTGACTCACCTCTGTGCCCCGATAAGTCAATCGCTTTTCGAGCTCTTTCTGCTTATCAGTCTTCCCTCACTTCGCACTTCTCCATTCATTTCTGTGTTCAGAGATGGGTGCAACAATTCGCTTAATTCTAAATCTTATTTTACTAATTTCAATCGTTTATGGCTCCTACTTCAATGAGTACTCCGATCGGGTAGGATTTCGGAAAAACAAATCTAGTACAAGCAATCAGGAGCTATTTCAAAATTAAAAAGAACCTGGAAGTAAAAGTTAAATAAAACCCGAGAAAAGATTGATAGACGCAACAAAATGTATAACTCCAATCGATTCCCTGATCCCGAAAACCTCCGGGTACAAATTTTCAGCTCAAAATCTTCCTTTGAGGCCATCTACAAAGCAAAAATAGAAATCCCTATGTAAATGACTGACAGGGTGTTCTTTGTTCAGCCACGTAATCGCTCGCCGCCTGGCATAAGCCTCGGGTATAAAGGCTTCCCTTTTGAGATTAGTAAAGGGGAAGGAGCGGTGAGCGACTGAGCTTTTTCACTTTCTCGGCGTCATGATTTTTGGGATCAATTTTTGCCTCAAATTTGACTGTATTTTTCTTACAAATTCTACATCCTTTCAAATAAAAAACTAACTGATATACTCAAGGTTGAAACGACCTGCAAAACTGATTTCATCCGTTAACACTCGATAAGCTATTGATAAACCGATTTACTTTAGTCATCTCTACATAAAACTTCACCAGAAAATTATATTACTACACCTATCTGCTGGCAATTTGGGTTTTAGTGAAAATCGATCCTAATTTGGATTTCTCCTTCAATATTGATTTTTAGTTTGCCAGAAAATTGGTAATCGCGGCGGCAGGAGCACGAGCGGATGACCCGATGCAATGTTTGAACCAGGCGTTTCCTCAGGATTTCTATCGTTTGATATCTCGTGATGTGAGTCTGATACTAAAAGGCATATCTAATCAAAAGTGGTCCACAAAAGTAATGCCCCATTTGCAAAGAAATAAAAATTTTTAAATCAATACTTGGTTGGTCCTCCTTTTGCTTTTATTACTTCATTGAGTCGATTCGGCATGGAATCCACGAGATTCTTCAAAAGACTTTGGGCATGGTGACTCAGAGACGTTGAATGTGACGCGAAAATAAAGAGAATAATCAAAGTAAGCATCAATGGGGCATTACTTTTGTGGACCACTGTATTATATTATACGGTGTCCAATAAAAAAACGTTTTCAAACCGGAATTTCTTAGAATTTCTCGTGGCTAGAAGTGGTCGTTGTGGTGTCATAGTGAATCATTTGTGCTCTAAAATTTTTCATATTTTTTCACGAAAACACTATCACTCGATAGGAATGGAATATCAAGAGATTATGGGTACCACCATGGTCACCACCATGAGACCATCAACTTTTCGATAGATATTTGGTTCCTTTCTCTACAGATTTGGTTCCTTTTCTGGACTTTTCTGGTTCCAAATTTTTACCATAGAGTGAAGACTTTCTACTGGCATCATGGTGTCATATTAGAGCTAACATATAAACTAAGATTTCTAACCAAACATTTTCTACATCTAAATAATATGTTAATCTCTCGTACATAAGGTTTTCCCAGTTTGCCGCCTTTAGAGAAATGCCCAATTTTTTCAATGAACTGTCGATCAAAAAAAGTATTTGGTTAGAAAACTTAGTTTATATGTTAGCTCTAATATGACACTATAATGCTAGTAGAAAGTCTTCACTCTATGGTAAAAATTTTGTTCTGTTGATGGTATCATGGTGATGACCATGGTGGTACCCATAAATCTCATGATACTCCTATCGAGACATAGTGATTTTATGAAAAATATGAAAAATTTTAGAGCATAAATGATTCATTCTGACGCCACACCGACCACCTCTAGCCACTAGAAATTCTGAGGAATTCCGGTTTGAAAACGTTTTTTTAATTGGACACCCTGAAGAGATAAAAGTGGTTTCATTGAATATTAATTAGTGAAAAGTGCGATGAGCAATTCTATTATCAATTCATTGTCTCATTGTCAGGTTTACTCAAGAAGCTAAAGCTTGATCGTTTAATCTTCAGCCTTATTGTTATTCAAGACTCATTTCTTTTAGGAAACCATTTGTGACGCAAAACAGAACACTTGTGCCTGTTACACGGCTGTCAGCACACACACTCAAACGATCATTGTCGCTTTCCGGGGAACCTCGACACAAAGCCAGATGAAAACCGAGATGAGCGAATCATTGAAACCGAGTATTGATTGGTATGGATATGGGCTCATCGACAAGTACTTCTACGATGCCATTGATAAAATGTGGTAAGAGTTTGGTTTGTCAATCATTGAGTACAAGCCTTCAGGCCGTACATTCAGCCCGCACTGAATGAGACCTCATCGTCTCATTTTGAAGTGATTTTCACTGGTTATTCTCTGGGTGGAGCACTGGCTACTCTTGCCGCAATGAAGACACATGCAATGAATTTACGAGCCAGTGCTAAGGTAATGAGAAAGCTGTGCTTTGCAATGATATTAATGTCTTTGTTGAGAGGCAAAAGAATTGACTCAATTATTTCAGATCAAACTGCTCACTTTTGGAGAGCCTCGAGTCGGTAACTCAATCTTCGCTACCAATGTCGATCGAGTGATCAATGATGGATATCGAGTCGTTCATAAAGCTGATATTGTGCCTCATTTACCCCCGTGCAAGTAAGCCGCACAATTCTTGATACTAATAAAATCGCATAAACCAAAATCTTGGTAGTAAGGGCAAGTAGCGTTTGTCCCAGCGCAGTTTATTAAGCTGTCCAGAAAGTCTTTTCGTTTCTTCTCGTACATTCGTTGAAAAATAACAATTTCATCAATTAACCTATGGTTTACTCTAAATAAAGAGTTTTTATTGTTCAATTTCGCATCTTTTTAAGTCAATTTCGATTCACTTTCAAGCAAATTCGAGAATGAAAATCGCGGGAATGGTCATATCAGTAAGATTTTTAGAGCGCTTTGTCTGAAACTTGAGTTGAGAAGAAGCTCGACGGCCAATCGTTTCATTTTCATTTTCATTTCAATACCAAGGCTAATTAGGCGCAAATAAAAATCGCAAACATTTAAGAGATGCGAAAACGGATAGACGAGCCTGTGATCGCGGGGATTTACGCAGAATGTATCATCACGGAACAGAAGTCTGGTATAACAATGACATGGGAGAGAACGCGGACTATCATGTGAGTGAGCTTTGCTTGAAGCTTGAATGGCTTGAATGGCTTGAAGCTTGAATGGCTTGAAGATAAACAATTAAACAATTACAGAATTATAAATCTTTATCAATTTAATTATCAACATAATTTAAAAGCCTGTACCTTTAACCAATGCCCATTCATGAATCCAAAAAGGTTTACTTATCCACTTTAGTTATGCACTAAAGATGATGAAGACCCGGAATGCTCTGATGGATTGAAAAATACGAAGCCAAGGATCATCTCAACTATTTTGGATGGGATGTGGGAGCGTATGGTGCCTCGAATTGCACATCAAATGTCAGAGTGAAAGCGGGAACGAGAAGACAATCAAGTGTTGCGTTTGGATTGCTTTCCCTGTTCATTTTGTTGATCCGCTAGTTAGTTTTTGGCAAATAAATTCGCAGTCTTAATTAGTGTCAGTATTGAATTCCAATCAGAAAACACACAAGATTCTGTAACCATTTGTAGCATGTTTCATTAAATTTTTTCATTAAATTCTCATTAAACCAGTCTTAAAACATTTTCAATTGAAAAAGGATCCTTTTTTGAAAAATCAAAACAAAAAGCGCTTGTTTGGAACGTTTGAAAACGATTGTTTATCAAATATTTTGATGTTTTGACACAATGTGACTTTAAATCGATTTCATCAACAAAAAGCGGGTATTTATCGAATGTTTATCAAAAGCTGGTTTGATTCCAACACACTTTTCAAGAAAGAGTTCCAATTTTGACTATGATTTTTACAATATTATCAAGTTTATTATTTCTACAGATAAGTGGTGAGTAAAGTAAACCCTTTGCGGCATTGGGATAGCGAGGGGACGCGCGTTTGAATCCCAACACCGACAAAACTGAAAACATCTTCTAAATTTTCAATTTACCTAAACAATTTTCAATGGTTTTACAAAGCTTAAAATATTCAGGACAATGCTTTGATAAGCGTAGACAAATTGTCTTCAATGCAAGCGATGATGAACCGGTGACCATAACGACTCCAGATTACCCGGAATTCTATGATCAAAAAACCAATTGCGAATGGACGGTGAGACTCCATTGAGACTAAACTTTCATAGGGTATTCGTTTAAGTTTCTTAAACCAAACCTGACCAAATAAATAATCAAGAAGCTACTAGATCATTGGCTCCGTGTCAAGATACACCAAACTGGTGACAAGGGACCAGTTGGTCAGACCCGGAGCTGATTGGACTTGATCGACTTTTGGCTTGGCTCCAAGCTAGTCTAAAATGTCACAGAATTTGCCCTTAGTCTGGCCCCGCTCAGGCTTGATCAGATCTTTTGCCTAACATTCAGTCAGTCTCGTGTCAAGATACACCAGTTTGGTGTATCTTGACACGGAGCCAAATAGTCAGTCTCGTCAGCCTCGCCTTTCTATAAATCATTCTGATTAAGCTGCTTATGTACCCGATTATTACAACAGTTTCAGTTCGAGGCTTCACCAGCTCACTCATTGTCCTTAACAATTTTGAATTTCGAAACGGCTTATGAATACGATTATGTGAAAATCTATGAAAGAGTAACGTTAAATGAAAAGAATGTTTTGCTTCCAATACAAAAGTGAGTTTAGTTTAGTTGATTTTTGCTTATTTGGCAACTACATTTAAGACTTACGCATCAAAGCCAGTATAATGACAACGCGAACTTTTATGGCCGTGGTTTTCAAATTGTCTTGTACAGTTCATTTTACAATGACGATGGATTTAAATTTCAGCTGATCGTGCGTCAGGAAACTGGTAGAGTTTTTTTGAGTTTTTGGGTTAATCTTAGGCAATTCCATCTTGTTTGACTCACCTACAAATCCACTATCAAATTCTTTCTATTGGGTTGTCCAGTTATGAATGCGCGTTTTTTACTTTTTTGTAAATTTCTCAAGATACCGAAATCAAGAAAAAGATATATATGAGTATTATTCGAAAGCTGAAGATCTCCTCTACATTTTGATATAAAAAGTTTTTGAAATTGTTCAGCTTTTGGGCAAATTGACTGCACAGAAGAAGAGGTGGCCAAAAAATGGAAGGGTGCCTTTGGATCAATACAACTTTTTTAAATATAACAGTTTCAGAGCATCTTACTTTTCTGGGCGGTTATTTTACACCATAAAACTTGAGGAACAGCTAAGCTGAAATGGGTTTTTTCGAAAACGACCTCTCCCTTTGTGCAGTCAATTTCCCAAAAAGTTGAAGGAATTCAAAAACCTTTTTATTCCAAAATGTAGAGAAGATCTTCAGCTTTCGAGTGATATATAACACTCATATCTGTTCGATATCTTGAGAAATTTACAAAATAGTAAAAACGCGCATTCATAAATGGACAACCCAATAAATCAGAGATTTGGTTTATCTGGTTAATTTAGTTGTTAATTCTAACATACTCCAAAACAAGGCTCATTTTTGTTAACAAATCAATTTAGCTCAACAAGCAAGGCAAAGGAATTGTGGTGTCGATCGCGTTGTTAACGTTACTGATGATTTAAAGAAAATAAGTTCCACGTTTCAAGAAGAAATGGAAAGCGATGGTTAAAAAGTATTAAGTACTCTTAAAATGTCACTTTCAGAATGCTCGGTCATTTTTGTGGCTCCGCCAAAAAAGGCTATTCAATTTGGGTCGAGCGATTTTGGTCGACTTCTTACTATTCCATTGATTGCAAATGGATTTTAGGCAAAAAATATCGGCTTTTGGAGATGACGTCCTCTCTAATTGACAATTTGGAACTTGTAAATGAGCGTCCTATCTGTGATGATGGGCCAGAAAAAAGGCACTTGATGGAAAAGTGTTTGAAAACCGATTCAATTTTAGTGGCTATGCTTATTTGTTAGCTTTGGCAACATCCCAAAGCTATCACAATATCGTTCTACTGCAGCTTTGTCGCAGGTCGCAAAACTCGCTAGAGTTTTCAGTACAAACTCATCCCGATCGTGGGTTTCGATATTTTCAAAGTGTTGGAAAAGTTGCAATTTTCTTTTGAAAATGAATAACATGTTACTTTTTTTAAACTTAGGTTGTGTTTGCATTTCGCCAAAAATCACGCTGACTTTTGATACTGGAATTACGATGCCGGGGATCCCAATAGGTGCTTGTGATCTAGTTCCTTGTGAATCTGAAGTCACCGCAGTCGAGAACAACAACGAAACCCATTATGAGAGAGTGCGATTGGAATCAGGGGTAAGTCAGAGTAATTGATCTTGTCAGGAATTCGAAAATCTATCTTAAAAAAAAGCTGAGAAGTCAATCTGCGCCTTTTTAACTTCTAAAACTTTCAAAATACCGGAGCTCGTGTGGTAATCGATTTGAGAATCAATCTAAATTTGATCTAATCAATTTGATTTGTTGACCTTCAAAAAATTTACAGTTTATTTTGGAATCTTTCGGATTTGTGATCGAAATGAAAGGTTTCGAAACGAATGGTTCGGCAATTATGACGTATGTTTGTGCTTTCAAACATAAACTAACAAAATCTTCAAAAATTTCATTTAATTTTCACCATTTGTGTTTCAAGAGCAGACTTTTAAGGCTTTTAAGCAGTGGGCATACTTTTAAGGTTTCGAAAAAAAATTGAGAAAACTTTTAAGTACAATATTTCAAAATACACTGCTCCACTTAATTATAGCCGCACCTCTGAATTTTGTAGAAACACGATTTCCGAAGTTGTAAAAGAGAAAAAATGTCATTTTTGAGTACTTAAATGGGTATTAATACCAAATTTGAATAGAAATTATTGGGTTGGTGAATTGAAAACTGTGGGCTATTGTCATATGTCCCAGTTTGAGCACTTTCTTCAAAAGAAACCCATTTTGGTGTCAATCGAAAAGTTGTAGAGAATCAAAAATTAAGCTTATATCCAAATTTTCAGAACGATTCAAAAACTGGTTTTCAAGAAATGCCAAATTTACGAATTTTCACAAAGCTTGCAACAAAACTTGCATTTTCAGCGAAACTACTCAGTGTATCTTTTTGCAAATTTGGCTATAAGCCTAATTTTTGATTCTCTACAACTTTTCTATTGACACCAAAATGGGTTTCTTTTGAAGAAAGTGCTCAAACTGGGACATCTCCAGTCCTCCATTTTTGAGTCTCACACTTGTCTCACACACAAACCAAAATCCTACTACGAAAGAGCAATCCGCAAATTGCCTGTAAAATGGGCAGAAGTCGCCAATCAGCCCACATAAGGTACCAAAATTATCCTTGAACTCTTTTCTTCAACTACAGCGACCAAAAGCTGATTGATAACCTCTACCACAGCTTGGATAATCGAATTTTTCAGCTAATTCAGCGGCATGGGGCTGTTACTGATTATTTAATTAGAAATTGTCGCTCAATTATTGTTTTTGTTGTTGTTTAATAAAGCAATTTTAGTAATGCGGCTATAATTCCAAAGTGGTTTTTTTGAAAAAAACGCCGAAAAAAATTGTGCTAATTTCTATTCAAATTTGGTATTAATACAAATTTTAGTGCTCAAAAATGACATCTTTTCTCTTTTACAACTATTGTCAAAACTTTTCAGAAATCAGGTTTCTACAAAATTCAGAGGTGCGGCTATAATTAAGTGGAGCGGTGTAGATTTAGTCCAGCTATTTAGCTCGAGTTCCCGAGCTTTACATTCTATGTCACCGATGTGGACGCTTCCCACCTCTTTTGTGATCAAATATCACCGAAATCTGCATGAGATTAATTTCACCTTAATCCACGTTCCAAAAGGTAAACCAGATGATTTCTTTGTTATTTTGGAGCAGACTTTTTTGAGCATTTTAAAAGGTTATCAGACATTTGATGCCCGTCGCTTTTGCCATTGGCAATCTAACTTTGAGCTCAAATATTTTGGTGCTCAATTGTCTAATTTAAATGTTCTTAATATTATTCGATGCGCCAAGTCTTTCTCTGTAGATTGGTACGAAAACTATTTAAATTGGACAGCTTAACACCAATGTATTGAAGCTTAAAGTTGGATTGCCAATGGCAAAGGCGGCGGAGCGTCCCACAATCATTTCCAAATTACTTTAGAATGCAAATGTTTCCCAGACACAACCGATGCATTTCTTATTTTGATGGATTCATTTGAAAATAAACAGCTTTTATTTGATATTGGAGAAGATTGTCCACAACTCGATTGCTTCATCAAGATCAGAAATGATCCGAAAAGACGTCTATCGATAACTTGGGCTTCTGGCGATAAAAAATTTTCAAAACAATGGAATCTCATATTTGCGATGGATCAAGAAATTAAAAGGTTTTTGTTTCTTCTAAATTGACATTGATCTGAAATCTTCAGTTCGTTTCACCCGGGTAACTATTATGTGAAAAAATTTGCCACCGACGATTACCCCATTCCCAAGAAGCCGTAAGATTCAAAAACTATGTTGAATCGTTAAACTTTAACACATTCTTAGTACACCGATGTACCATGGATGAATGCGTGAACCAAAAAATCCTAAAAATTTGTGAGGATATGTAACTTTTTGTTCTTGATTAAAATCGGTAAATAAACCGGCTTGAATATATAGATTTCCACAAAGGAAATCTCTAGTTGATAAGCTTGAAGTTATGAGAAAACTCTAGTTTATAAGAATAATTTTAGTGCCTAAATGACTTCTAGAGCCAGTATTAAATCCCTAGAAAATGCCTGGATTTCAGCAGCATTTAGCATATGCTCAAAATAAACAACATCAGCAATCAAGCATTTTTCTATGCAAACAAGCAAATCTTGGGCTTTTTGCTGACAAAAAATGTTTTTTTCATGAATGTGTTAATAGAGTCAACTTCATTTATCTCCATTTTGTCTCAAATCCATCTGCGCTAGTGCCGAAGAAAGCTTGGAATGTCAATGTTACAATGCAATGGAAAGATGGTAAGTGTAGTATCAAACTTACATAGATGGAAATTATTTCTTAGCAATTAGTTGTGGACAATCCGAGTTTTCTCTTGACGAGAAGCCGATTTTCATCTCGTCTCCAGGTTTCCCTGAAACGTAAGCTATCAAGTTTTAAAGTACTCGTCATTGCTGTAGATCGGAAATGGATACGAACCATTTCTAGGACTTATAGTTAGAAGTAATTCTCAGTATTTTGGCTTTCTAGGACTAGAAGTCTAAATACAAAAGTTAGATATTAGGTTGATGCATAAGTCTTTTCGTTTTTTTTCGTACTTCTGTTAAAAAGTAACAAATTCACCAATTAATCTATAGTTTGCTCTATAAAAAAAGTGTTTTTTTGTTCAATTTCCATCTTTTTAAATGAATTTCGGTTCACTTTCAAGCAAATTCGAGAGTGAAAAACGCCTTTTTCGTAAAAATCTATAAAAAACTCTACGGAAAAATTGGCTGAATGAATTTCTCTGAAATTTTGGCGAAATATCAAACTTTTTTTTCTCTATCTTTTATCTATTGACACGAAGATAGGTTTTCTTTAGCTAAGGTGTCTAAACCGCATCATCGAGTTAGCCCTTTTTGACTACCCGACTTCATACTCTCAAGAAAATCCAGGCATAAAATATTTTTAAACCCGTTTTAATGTTATTTTGCAGAAAAATAATTGGTTTTTCTAATGAAATCAACCGTAGTTTAATTGGTGCATTTGTTGGCTTGAAACGGCAGACGAAACAAATGAAAAAGACTTTTGCATCGACCTAATACTTCAATCAATTAATTGAACAGAACTTGCCGAGGCCAGTCAGGATCTGACTTCTGCCAGAGTCAAGATTTTTTTGACTTACAATTAGTAGTACACTACTAATAGACAATTAGTTAGTAGACTTTTACTTGGCAGACTTCTTGCCTTGTCTCTGTTCTGTTTTGTTCTGTTTTGTTTGAATTAGATGGCCTTAAAGTCAAACCTATCTTAAGCTTTGTGTTTGGTAGTTAACTACCGTATTTTCCCTAATAGTAGTGCACTCCGGCGAGCCGAGTTGATGACTATTTTACGGTTTCCAAATTTTCACAGAAGCTCAACACTCTAATCCCCCACAAGATCTCATCGTCAGCTACATTTTCCGATCTCACCTCGATAAGCTCTGATAAGCGGTTTTCGAGATTTCAAGCAATTTAGGCGAAGCTTAGGGAAAATACGGTAATCTGAAGGAAATACCTTCTAGTTTTTGACGCTTCCATACATTTTCATACAAAAAATCAAACGTATGGCAAACTCTTTAGCTATCCTAAATATATGAACTGCTCCTATCTGATCAAAGCACCCGAAGGAGCAAAAATAAGATTCAAAGTGATGGTTCGATCGATCGGTTATTATGATAGGCTCACATTTGAGGAACATGAAGTTATTTACAGGTACATAAATAAAGTTTACTTCAAAAGAGTTAAAACGATGACCGTTTTAGCATCGATTCCACTTCAGAGATTCGAATGACTGAACATAATGAAGTGCTATTTCGATTTGTCAGTTTCACCGGATATTCAGCACCATATAGAGGCTTTCAAATCAAACTCGAATCTTGTATGCTGAACAAATGTATCACTTGAGAATCAGACTTTAGATTGGATAAATGGAAAACCGACGTCACACACTGGAACTTACATTTCATTGTTCACCTTGGGAGTCCTCCTGCTTTTTATCGCTTCCTATGTTGTATATGAAAGAAAGAAAAGAGAAAGTCTTGCAGCACCTAGTACAATAATTTATTATTCAGCGGATGATGATAAAGAACAAAGTTAACCCGATGAGTTTTACCTACTTTTGTGATAAATCTAGCTTTTTCTTTGCTACTTTGTTATCTTCTTATTTGTTCTTGATTCTTGTTCACTAAAGTTTAATTGTAGTGTCACAAAGTGTCTGTATGATAAAGTTTTCACAAATTGGTTAGAATCAATAATGTAGTTGGTGAGATTACTAACAAAGCTTAACTATACACAAATGTTTTTGTACTTTCAATTTACCGTTTTTTTCAATGCACACTGTTTTTGTACTTTCAATTTATTTCTACATCTTTTTTTGAGAACCAAAACAACAGTTTAGCTGTTCTTATCCTTCTAATTTTCCTAAATTTACCGTTTACATAATTTTAAATCTTTACTCAATCAAAGCTCGTACACAAAAATAAAAGAGAGCAAAGAAATGAAAGCTAGCCAAGAGAGATTCGCAAGTGTCGACACGTTACATTTATCTTTGTTACAAGAGTAGAGAGTGTCCGTACTTTTACCATCCTAAAATAGAAGTTTTTACCAAATTCTTGCCAACTTTAGTTGCTAGCCAATTCACCAAGCAAAAACCCTTATCGTCTGGGTGAACCAAGGTAACATTGGTCGAGCAAGCACACCCCCAAAGCCAAACCCCACCCTAAAACATTTAGGGTTAAAAATTGCTAGCAACCGACCCCGAGTTTTGCTTTATAGCAGTAATCTCCACAGCTGCAAGTGTCCTCTTTTCTCTGAAATTTAGGCACGTATTCTCTAGGGTTAGGTGGAGATCCTATCTTGCTACAAGATCTAGCTTCATTGCTAGAAAAACTAGGGCAGTTTCTAGAAGGAAAGCCGTAGAGGGATGATAAAGGGCACCGAAAACCAGGGCGAATAGTACGTTTAGATAGCGAAGTGCCAGGGCTTCTGTCTCTCGATCCGAAGATGATAGGTTCGATCCCGTCTGAAGCCCGTTGATTTTGCTATTTTCGAATGTTCAAAATCCATGAGGAGATGAGAGAAGGGAAAGAGAAGAGCTTGGAAAGTGGAGAAGAAGAAGTGAAAGGGATGGCGCGAGAAAGCAGATCCCAGAGCATATTTTTACGACCAACTAAAAGCTGGAGGTTTTAAGCTGTTTTAAGCTTAAACTGGTTTGACAAGTTTCTAGTATAAGCTTCTAGTATAAGTTAGTTTCTAGCATAAGCACAGCTATTTTGCTAGACTAAGCCTTCATTAAAACCACACCGGACAAAGCCAAAGTCAGAGCAGGACCTAGGTTCTCATCAGAATAATCAGTTTCTCTGGGTAGAAAATAAATTAGCCGCTGGGTATAAAGCTGTTTTTATTGGACTAACAAAAGTCTTGAGTCAATGAATCGTTTTCAAGAGAGTCACTCATGTTTTTTCCCGAAAAGCTACCTACATTGAATACTTCTCGGGCATCTGCCCAGCACTTTCGAGCTGAATCTTTCGTGTGTGTGGAAACAACGAATAACATAAATATCGCAAAAACTGCTTTGATAGTTGTGCTGAAATTTTGAAGCTTTGGAAAAACAAGAAGTATACAAAAAACAGAACAAACGTCAAGAAAAGGTAAATGTAAAAGCTATTTTTTATAATAATCGATATATCTTTTGTTTTCAGCAAATTTTTGATAAGAAGTGTTATTAGAATCAATGAATCTTAGCTCGCAATAAGTCAGAAATTTGTGATAACACTGGATTTTCTCGTTATTAAGAACCATTCGAAAACAAATGAGCAAATTCCTTCATTTTCCCTCTAAAGAAACAAGAAAAACTGGAATTTGACTTTTTGAGATTTGGAGAACTATTATTTAGATACAAGTCTGTTATTGGATCGAAATCCTGTGCAGAATTTTCCTTTTTTCTTTTCTTGTCACTTTCAAAAAGTTGACATTCGTGTTGACTTTTAGATTAGAATTTCTTTATTTTATGTCTATGATATCTTGCTCTCATAGCTAGAAAAGATTTTCCGATAAATCGGCACTTTAAATATTTCTAATCACTGAACCACAAGATTTATCGTTTATTGAATAAAAGCTTTTATATCGATATTATCATTTTCTTTCATGGCACGCAGGCCATGAAAGAAAATGATATTACAAAGTTGTCAGGTTGAAGTTTTTTTTAGGTTTTAAGCTCGGGAAAAAGTTATTTACATATTCGGAATCAGCGAAAAACTCCACGGAGGATCAGGGTTTCTCTCCGGAGAGGATATCAAAAAGTTCCTTGACTCCAGTCATTTTCGAACTTCAGCCTGGCAACCTTCCCTTCCCCGGAAATTATGAAGATAATGAAGAATTGATAATCAAAAGTATTTCCGGATATCGGGAAATGGATAAATAAGCAGAGTTATTTGGATTTTGAAGTTAATTTTGCATAAATCTAAATTATCCACACAACCCAGATGATCATGTGCTTTAATCAATAGAATTTTTTAAGGTCCAGTTATCAGAGTTCCTGTCTTCTTGATTAGACTTCTCTAAATAAAAAACACTTTTATGAGTGCACACATATGGGTGATTTCATCGCAAAGATAAGGCACTTCGGGGAACAAAACCTGAATTGATTGATTGAAGACCGCGAAATTCAGAGCCATGACCGATTCCATTCAAAATCTACTTCCACCGCCAGCTTATGATGAAATTGGTAAGCTTTTTGTAAAGAAATAATAGTTTTTTTTGGCATTAGCTGTAATGTTTCAATTACTAACTTAAAAATCATCTTAAAGTTTCCAAGAGCAAACTCTGTTTTAGACAAAACCACCGAGCATTTTCCGGCAGGCCCTGTTGAAGCTCGATTTGAACAAAATCAAGTGTGAACTTTTAATTACTTCTTTCTTTCTTTCTCTCTTTCTTCCTTTCTTCTTCTCTTTGTCTTTCCTTCTTTCTCTTGGCAAATTACCGGATAGCTCAGTGGTTAGAGCAAGAGCAAAAGCAAAGCAAAGGTCGAGAATTGAATCCTCTCTCCGGAGATCTACTTTTTTTGCCAATTTCTTTACTTCTTTATTTCTTACATTTTCAGAAACTATTCTTTTTTCAGTTTCACCCACCCCCACCCCCGAATCCTTTTGATCCACCATCAAATGTTTCCACACAAGTGACCATCATTGAACATCGAGGTAAGGAACAGGAATTGATCAAAAAATGTGGAACACTGTGCAATAAAATATTGAAATTTCAGCCATCACTGAACCGGACTACTTGACACCCCGTCAGAAGCGAATCTTCGTCATTTTGCTGTTCATTCCAATTACTTGGCCATTTTTGGGTGGGTGTTTGTTCAAAAAAACAAAGAGTTGATCCAGTTTTGATTTTAAAGTTTCAATGGTTATTGTGAAAGATGCATAAAAGCCTTAATACTCAGGCATTTTGTTATTAAAAATACACTTTGTTAAAATTTAACTACTTGATATTGCTAACTAAACATATTAAAATCTAACCGAGCATAACTAACTATTAAAATCATCAAAATCAAAATCAATAACTATCAAAAAAAACTACCATTTTAGGTATTCTTCTAATGATTTTGGCTTGTAAAGGAGATCAAAATGGGAAATTTATGAGAAAACCTTTCATTCATGGACTTGTTCTTATCAAACTCACAATAGTTGCTACTCACATTGTTGCTATTGTTGTTATTTCTGTAGTCAATTCTCAAAATAATTGATAGAGATTTTATTTATTGCTTTTATTTTCTTAAAAAACTTTCTTGTCTTTTTGTGAAATCTTTTGCTGTGATTTTTCAATATTTACAAAAACAATGAATGCTATAAAATCATTGAAATTTCATTGAACTTGTCCCACTCTCGATTGTCGCCTGGCTGGCATCACCCGAGTCGAAATCGAGATATCAGAAGCACTCCGGGAAGATTTTTCTAAAAAATTGTAGACAAATCAATATGATGAGTCCACTTTTTATCATTAGCATCCATTCAATGAGTTCTTGTAAATGTAGCCGATAAGTTCTGCTAAAGAAATAACCAAAAGAGGCACCAGTGCTTTGAAAACCCGCGAACATTGTCAACCAAAACCCCATTTCTAAAATAGGATGTGAATCAAGTTATTGCTTAAACTTTGATAAGATTTTGAGAGTGTGATCTAACCTGTAAACTTTACATCATCCAAAACTATAATCAGCCCAAATATCGTTGCCGGAAAACATTGAAAAATGAAAATGATATGAGACTGAATGAAAAGTTCGAGTTAAACTTGAAATTTGACTCAAACCTGCAAATAGACTTGCTTCAACCACAATTTCTGCATAGCCAACGTTTTTGGACTCATGAATTTCTCAAGGGATTTCACTGCTTTGATGGTGGTTGGGACAATGACTAAATTTTGAGAAGAATAGTCTAAACACTATAATAAAGAAACAATTACCACAGATAAATAAGCAATGAAAGGCGAGGTTCACTGAAAACACAATGATCGCTTGCATCCCATGTGTCTCCTCATATGCATAACTTGACGTTTGATTGAAAAATGGAACAAGTGATGGATAGTTCTAAGCTTTCCTGTATTTTACTTTCAACTCCATCAAAGCATGGATGTTTCTCAAGGTCTTTAAGCCAAATGGCCAGATCAGGCCGACGTCTGAACCTGGACCAGATCGAGGCTCACAAGGGAAGTACCCCAGTTCGCACAGATCACTAGACGCCCATGGAGAAGCTATAGAACCGACTAAGCTGACCAAAAAAGCAAGTGATTTGCGAGGCGTGGATTCGAGCCCGAGCAAAGAATGCATAGCTCGCTTTGTATACAAGTACCTTATCCGCTAGGCCACCAGCTCATATTGGCGCCGAGCGAGAAAAATCTTTTAAGCGCGATGTTGAAAACTTTTATGCCAAATATCTCACGTTTGTGTGGGTATAGGCAGCTGATTGCGGCATTTTGATCAGCTTAGTCAGTTCGATAGCTTCTCCATGGGTGTCTGGTGATCTCGGCGAACTGGGGTACTTCCCTTGGCAGAAACGTTTCGCGGCCACGTTTCATGGCCACTTAGATTGCGTTAAACCTAGGCCAAACCAGCTAACTATAAGGTCAGAAGGAAGTTCAAGTTTCGCAACTTGTCACAGGGCTTGTTAGACCTATAGAACTACTCCGAAAGCCAAAACCTACCCGTCTTTGCTTTGCCAGCGCCGACTGATAGTCGTTCGACCAGAGTAAGATAGCGATTATCAAACTGGTGATTCCGGGCATAGCATATAGTCCAAGGATTAGATTGTCTTTCAATCTAAAAATCTAAATAATTATTTTACAATCCAAGAGAAACCGTGTATCTAGTTTAAGCCAATGATTTGGCGGCAAGATAGCTTGCTGCCGATTGAGAAGCAAAACTTGCACCGAACCGTTCATCATCAATTGAATGAAAGTTGTAATTTGCTGAAAGAAGAAAGAGTTCTAAATTTTGTAGAATTGACAGACAAACATTTTGTGCTTTAACATTTAAGTTTATTTCCAAATATAGCTCAAAAAATATTGTACCGCCTACCTTCTGTCCAAAGATCTAAAAATTCAAAAAACTCACAGAATTGGAGTTTTTTGAGTCTGAAATCACCTGTGCAAGGTCAGCTTTTTACATGATTAGCTAACACAAAACGGACTTCCGTCTCAAAGGACTTTGTTTTTGAAATTCCAAAACTTTTGTCACGACAAAATCAAACTCACAAGTTGCCAATAGACTCCAAAGCCGATTTCAGAGAAAATCCCAATTGTATAGCCGGCAATTGCAGGAAAAGCCATCATTGGGAAGTGAAAATAGGCCATCAAATATTCAAATAACATTTGAAAGATCTGAAACAAAGAAAAATGAAAGTTTAGTTTGATAAATAAAATTTTAGTCCATTACAATTCAATGCATTTTCAAATCGATCGGATTGGGTTAATCCAATTCCCACCTTGGCTAGGTTTAAAGACGCAATTTCGGTAATTGATTTGACTGCTCTGTGATTCTTTCTTGAGGTATCTATTTATCTTTTGGGTGTGTTTTGAATGGTGTCCCGGCTAATTATTGTGATTTTGTTTTGTCGCTATTCAACTGAATAAAGCATATATATATATTTGCAAATCGATCGGATTGGGTCAATCCAAAAATCCAACCAGCAGTCTCCAGATTCCACACCCGCGCGAAAAAGTGTTTTCTATAGGTTTTTAACGGGCAAGGTGCCAATCGACGTAAAAAAGCACCCTGATTTCAAATAAGAAACTTTTTTTGAAATCCGTCTGACTAACTTGGAATCTAACTGAAGAATTCTCTGGCTTTCTAATCCATTTAGCTATTCTTAATTGTCACTCACATGTAAAATGAACATGTACCACCGTAGTCGTCCGAGAGTTTTTGGTGTAGCCGCCAAAATGAGGTAAACACATAACAAGTTCAGAACAAAAGTGAAAACTGAATATGGAATAAATGTATTAACAAAATCAACCTCACTTGAAGTTTTTCGGAACCAATAAAGACCATGATAACAAGGGCTTAGATCAATGACATTCAAATCGTTCATTGTCTAAGAATATGGTTCAGTATAACTTTCAAGAGTAAAAATACGTAAATTACCGATTAGATCGAGCTAGGCTAAACAAATGAATTTGATACTGGCTTCCTAGGTAGAACAGGTGCAAGTCTTGAAAACAGTTTGCCTGTAAACTAATGTTAAAAAAATGCTCAGTATTTGGGAAATATCACAGGTGTTTTTTGAGAAATTGTAAATCCAACTCTTGAAAAACTACGTGTATCAGAAGAATTTGACCAGACTTTTGGTGATTAGTCAAATAGCGCTATAGGTTATTGTTTCAAAATAGCTCATGTATTGGGTTGATGAATTGAAAACTCCGGGTTATTGTCATATGTGACAGTTTGAGGACTTTCTTCAAAAGAAACCCATTTTGGTGTCAATGGAAAATTTGTAGAGAATCAAAATTTAAGCTTATATCCAAATTTTCAGAACGATTCAAAAACTGGTTTTCAAGAAATGCCAAATTTACGAATCTTCACAAAACTTGCATTTTAAGCGAAACCACTAAGTGTATCTTTTTGGAAATTTGGCTATAAGCCTAATTTTTGATTCTCTACAGCTTTTCTATTGACACCAAAATGGGTTTCTTTTAAAGAAAGTGCTCAAATTGGGACATCTCCAGTCCTCCATTTTTGAGTCTCACACTTGTCTCACACACAAACCAAAATCCTACTACGAAAGAGGAATCCGCAAATTGCCTGTAAAATGGGCAGAAGTCGTCAATAATAATGGAAATTATTTCGAACGAATTTAGGGTTTTATTTTGAATAAATTTTAGTTCAAAGTTCCGCAGTTTTCAATTCACCAACCTAATATATTAGAATTAACAACTAGATTAACTAGATAAACTAAATCTCTGATTTAGAAAGAATGTTTTTTGAGAAATTGTAAATTCAACTCTTGAAAAACTACGTGTATCAGAAGAATTTGACCAGACTTTTGTGATTAGTGTAAACAAACAAGTTGAATTCTTTATTGAACGAAATTGTCCAAAAACGGGTTTTCACTTTTCTAAAACAATAAGTTACCTTTGAAAACCCAGATAGTTTTCAATTTCAATTCCATTATGCACATTTTTGTGCTCAGAAACCTGTCCTGTCTTGGTTTTAATATTTACTCAATAGTCATCGATATCCTTTGCCGTAAGGAGAAAAAAGCACATTGTTAGCAGGTCATCATGTCTATCAAATGCTAAAATTCAAAAAACCAAATATTTTATATTTAATAGCAAAACTCACTTAACATAGTAGAAGAAACTGCAGGCGAAATTGACAATTTTACCTTCACGATTGAATAACAAAAATTTAAGGCAATTAAATTGAACTTGGATAAAAATCTGAATGCTTTTTACCGTATATGGCTAGATAGCTGGGCATATGGCTTTTGGTAAGTACAAAAATCCACTCGGGAGTTGTTGCACATTTCGTGAAATAGACGAACGGCCATTTAGTGTCCACTGAAAATAATATAAATTAATAATAGAAAAGCGTCAACTTTAATTGACCAATCGGAATGATTTGTAACTTTGTATATAGACTTTACCAGTTCTCCCTCTTTTGCCATGCCGTGAAAAGTGAATTTCTTTCACAAGAATACATCAAAACTTGCATTTCTAGAATAAAAAGTGTAGCAAAAGAAAAATGGCAATAATTTTTGTTGAAAAACTCTTTAGAATGCGTTTTTAGCTTTTAAGCGCCTTTTAGAGAGCTTGAGTTTGGGTATTGACTTGAGTCAATACATAACTCAAGATTTCATCTTTGAGACTTAATCGGCTAGCCGAAGAAGTCTGAGACTTCTTCGGCTGAAATCCTTCATCGGCTACGACATATATATGTCGTAGCCGATTATGAATGAAAGTATTAGGTTGATGCAAAAGTCTTTTTCATTTTTTTCGTACTTTTGTTAAAAAGCAACAAATTCACCAATTAATCTATAGTTTGCTCTATAAAAAAAGTGTTTTTTTGTTCAATTTCCATCTTTTTAAATGAATTTCGGTTCACTTTCAAGCAAATTCGAGAGTGAAAAACGCCTTTTTCGTAAAAATCTATAAAAAACTCTACGGAAAAATTGGCTGAATGAATTTCTCTGAAATTTTGGCGAAATATCAAACTTTTTTTTCTCTATCTTTTATCTATTGACACGAAGATAGGTTTTCTTTAGCTAAGGTGTCTAAACCGCATCATCGAGTTAGCCCTTTTTGACTACCCGACTTCATACTCTCAAGAAAATCCAGGCATAAAATATTTTTAAACCCGTTTTAATGTTATTTTGCAGCAAAATAATTGGTTTTTCTAATGAAATCAACCGTAGTTTAATTGGTGCATTTGTTGGCTTGAAACGACAGACGAAAAAAATGAAAAAGACTTTTGCATCAACCTAATAGCTTTTTCTAGAAATTTGCCGTCAAATTCAAATTATTATGTTGATATTTAATTGTTTAGTGCTGTTGTTGTCAAGGTAACTCCTGACGTTTTAACCACGTTTATTGAATGTAAACGAAAACATATTAACAAATTACCTAGAGTTAAACAATAACGGACAACATAACAACAATAGCAAAAACAAAATTAACAAGCTAAAAGGTTAACAAAGGTTTACAAAATTATCCCTTGTTCAAGCAGGAATTGCTATGGTGACATCGGCTATTACAGAGGACATTGGCTTTTCGACAGGCACACCGTCCATTCAAACATCTTTGTTCCGTGACTGTAGAGATTCGCTTGGTCCTGTTCGTACCGAAGAGAGAAACGATTTAGCAAGTTGACATCATCGTATGATTTTTTCTTTTTATCGTTTCCCTCGCTGAATTCTTTGATTTGCACAACGATTTCATTGTGTTTTTCAGCAGACGGTATCAAAATCTTCTTTCTTTGAGATTGATATTACGTGAAGGTTTCAGCAAATCTCCAACCTAAAAAGAAAATTTAGTCCGATGAAAATATAAAAGACAAAAGTTAAAAATGTGAAAATGTGAAAACTCTGAAACAGATTTGACATGGCAAATAAGAACTAATGCGTTTACAGATACTTTCAATTTTCCTACAGACGAGATATTTAGATTTTACACAGCTGTAAAAATAGGATATAGACATCAGTCGGATTTTTTTGCAGCTATTTTATAACCACAACAAAGTAGCTTTTGTCCTTTTTACTATTTTTGCCAAATCTTGCGGGTGGCTACCTTGCACCAAATTTTTTGCGCAACTGGGTCATTTGCGCAACTAAGTCTTTTGCGCAACTTGCCATAACTTTCTTCTAAGTCGGCCAATTTTTATGATTTTGGTGTCATTTTGTTACACTTGTTGAGATCTACAAAATAAAACCAACATCATAAAGATTGGTCCACTTAAAAGAAAGTTAGGGCGAGTTGCGCAAAAGACCTAGTTGCGCAAATGACCCAGTTGCGCAAAAATTTGACGCAAAGTGATGACCCCCCAAATCTTTCCATTTTGTGTCTTGTTTCAAATTCGATTATTTTGTCTTTCTTTTGCTTCTCAATTACCGTAAAAACTCTTTATTATATTACATATATACCCTTTATTATATCAAATATATTTTTGCTTCCCAACAGCTCATCGACTGAATTGATTGCTTTCATATTGCTTTCATATTTCATGTTTCCACCTCTTACTTGATTGTTTTTTAATTTTCTTATGTATAAATAAATCATCAGATTTTTTTAATTAGAAAAAGACCAAGAATAAAACAAACTTATAGCAAAAAGTTTGCTTTGAAAAAAGGATGTTGTCAAACTAGTTTCTAAGGTTATGGAGATTTATCTGAGACTTTATGTGTCGATTTTTGTGCCCAATTATTTCTCTAAATAATTGTCAAAACCGTAAATCGATTGGTTTATTCTACGAGGAGAACGAACAATGCATTTGAGTCCCAAAAGCTGGGTCCCCTCTATGGGCAGATGTGCCATATAATTTTAATTTTTGATTCCAGTCCCCTAGCTGGATCGATTTTGATGTTTTTGGACTATTTTTGATAATATAAAAACAAAACTATAGGAGGTTTTCGGAAAAAAAAGAGTTTTTGAGGAGATCCGGCCCTACTGGTCACCCTTTAAGAGCCGAAGATGGAGCTCTCTGGTTCTTCGAACACAATCCTTTGTTTTCGCTATTTAAAAATGCTGACTCACATCGCATCTATTTCAATCTGAAAAAACGTTAAATAATCTTACCTAAATCTTGGAGAGTCTTATCTTTTCTGTTGTTATTCCCTTGTGACTCGGAGGAACCAAAAAAACTGCTTTACCAATGCCAAAAACACTTTATCTGTAGCGGCTTTCAACTTCTATGTCACCAATAAAAAAAGCGGCTTTTTGAGTGGTGACATATAATTTTCTCTTTATAAACAACCATTTTCTCTTTTATTACTATTTGTATCATTCAAAAGGAGTGAATTTTGATTACAACAGGAGACAAGATGGGCGAAATCAAGAAGGACTATGGGTTGGTTTCAGATTCGAATTGTCTGTTCAGGTCGTTTAGATCTTTTAAATGTTTAGTATGTGCTTTGATATAAGCATCAAAGCATCAACGTCTAACTTTTCAGCTTTCTCGACGACTACTGTGACGAGGTCTACCCGGTGACGCACTTCTACGAGAAGGAGCCCCTCAAAACCTCGGTGGTCCTCATCCCCTATCAGGACAGGTGGATCTTTTTTAGATCCACTGCAAGATTTTATTCTTTAGATCAACATTAACTTTTTAGCATCATCCGCGAGAGAAATTGGGCTAAAGAGATCCTCCTCGTGCTCTCGCTTTTGCTCATCGTCTTCGTGATCACGTTGAGCACAGTCGCCGCAAATTGGGACCAAAACGAGTAGTTAGTTTCCGTTTTTGGTAAAAGATCTCTTTTGAAGAGCTTTTTTGTTTTTGCATATGCAAGCAGCTTTTGAAGAGCTTTTAACAAATATAAGCCTTACAAATACTTTTCAGCAACAACACCTCAACACCCTGTGATCGAGAGGGTTTGCTAAGCCTTTGCCGCGAGAGAGCGTAAGTATCCAAGTCAAATAACCTGTCTATAGACTTTAGGAAGCATCTCGAGAAAAGAATTAAAGAACTGGAAGAAGCACAAAAGAAAAACCATCCTTCAGAACGGTCAGAGAGAAGCCCGCTTTCCCATGACGGGGAAAGCGACGAACTCGCTCTTCTCAAAAAGAAGTACCCACTAAAGGCTTTCAAGGTTTAATTTGTGTTTTCAGGCTGGAAGCATGTCAGAACAGCATTGACAGGTTGGTGAAACAGTTGTATACCGTTTAATTACTGGAGTGAAATGTGATACGACATTGAGTGCAAGCGTTCAATTACTCCAATACGTCAGGCCACGACTAAAAACTTGCTCCTATCAACATTTACAAAAGTTTAGCGTGGCCCAAGAGATGCTCACAATGTTAACCAAGTTGGATTCGAAGATCCAGTCCTTCGAGGGCAACCGGGACACCCCGCACACGCAGATCGTCAACCTTTCGAATGGTTCCACTTTCATCAACATTCAAGGCAACAACGTCTCAAACGGTTCTCATATCACCGTCAAGGAAGCGGCCAGAGAAAAGTTCCTCACCGCTTCCTTTTTCGTCTTTGTCGTTTTTCACGCTTTTAATCTATGAGCTTTAATCTACACCGAGTACCCATGTCTTTCATGCACATATATAACTATGTTGAGTTCTACGTGTCTCTGTTCAAAGATGTACAGTACCTATTTGCAAAAATTCAAAAAATATCCAAGATTTATCACAAATGGAATCTCAGTTATTAGAAGTTTTTACAAGATTTGTTTTTGTTATTAAAAAATCTCAATAGTTCAAAGTTTAAATATAAAATTTGATACCATACAACACAACAATAATCACTCACAATTTCAAAAGAATACGTATACGTACGTTTACTGGCATTTTCGCTTTAAAGGGAACGCTCAGTAACTTCGAGAACGACTTGAAGAACGCGACTTAAAGAACTTAAAGAAAGCAAGTATGGGAAACGGACTTTTGACCATTTTCCGGGAACGACTCGGGTTATCATTCTAAATTGTGGATAACCGCATGCTTGGTATTTTGCCAGTGAGTAGGTAATCATGCCAACAACCTAACTTTTTCCAATGAAATGGTGATAGATTTGATACAAAGTGCCAATTTTTTAACGTTTTTTTAAAACAAACTGGATCCTAGAATACTTAGGAGTACCATTCTCCTTTTTACCTCACGGATGGCACCCGCTACAGTGGCCCACGGAGGACATCTGCTGCCAATAGAAGTTCGGTGACTCCTGCTTTTTATGATACCCTCTAGGGCCATAGGCGAGAAGTTGTCAACGCTCCAAACACAAAGTTGAGTTCTCTTAAAATGGACGGATAGGTTGACCCTATCTGAAATCTTAATGCAGGTGATAAATCTAAAAATATAGCTTGTTTTAGGCGTTTAAACTTTTTCGGAATATTCTCTAATTGTTCCGAATGTTGAAATCTCAAACTCTTCATAAAAGCACCTGACTGGATTGGTTCCAGTCGATTCACCGAAATCTTATACAAAATATGTAGATTAATCAACATGGACATTCAAAGTTTCCCTCTCAAAATGAATTGGCTTTTTCTTTGTTTCCTCGTAATTCTACAAGTTTCCGCCGATTCCGAGAAAAAAAGCTTCATTTGAATTGTCCGATCAGCAAATCGATTTGTTCAGAAAACCTTTTCCGAACTCACCAGGTAAACAACAAAGTCGAAAAAATTCTCTAAATTTATTCAATTTCTTGATTTTCAATTGAATTATTCAATTACAACACAAATTTGATCAGCAGTTGCTCCGAATCGATACAAGTTAAGATACAGAAAGATACTTTCCGTCTAAACAATGTTTTATAACTTTTTAGAAAACACTGCTAGTAAAGGAACACTCCCAATAAGGGCAGTTCAATTGAAACATTGAAACATTGAAAAATCGTTCAATCTTTACTGGAAATCAATCTTTGCTAAAGCTTTTAAGCCACTTATAGTTAGCAAAATCCGAGTTATGTAACTTTTTACCAAAAAACCACGTTTCCCTTTGTTTAGCTGCTTAGCACAGCTCGCAAAAGAAGTTCACCGGATAAACTTTTTGGTATGAAGTCTGTAGAATTTGAAGAAAGTTTTAAGCAAAATACCTAAAGATGGCTTGTTTTTACACATGTTTACTAGTCTTATTTCTCATTGTAGTCCTTATTGAAGCTAACTAGCTAGCTAGCTAAGCAATGGAACTTGAAACCAACGACAATGGATCTTTTGAGTGGATTTTGAAGTAATCTTTACTTCTATAAATTTCAATGTACTGCCGAAAAAGTGTATTTATTTCTTAGGTTTCGAAAGAGATCATCTAAAGCTCTGAAAAATCGTAAGATCGAAAGATCCGAAGTAGCTCCGGCAGCTCCGGCTGTTGATTCACCAACCTCTCATGCCATCCAAATCTTTATTCACAGGGTGGACGATAACTTTATCTGTGAATAAATGTTTATCTTATGTTTTCAATAATCTTAATCGTTTGCAATCTTACAATCTCTTATTGTCATTCACTTGATATTAAGGCATCATTTTTCGAAGCCACTCTGAATGTAACAAAGGCATGAATAAGGGTTAGATTTATTAGAGTTTGGAATAAAAAAGACTGGCAAAGTTTTAGAATTGTTGGTGTTTAGGGCACTGTGCACTTTCCGCAAGTCTTGTAACAGCTCGAGCTCGTACCGGCGCAGATCTCAATGCCCTTGGCTGCACGTGGTCCACAGCTAAAATGATTGATAAATATCTTTCATCTTTACTTTATCTATATTTGAGTCTATAAATCATGTTAAAACCAACTTTCCAAGCGTATCCGCACAGTAGCATCCATCAACTCCATTACTGTCTGAGTAACACGTCAAATATTGAGAGCAAGCCCCATTGTTGGTGGCTAAAACAGTTGGTTTTAGATGAATTGCTTCATTTTAAAAATTGATTTTACTAGTGTGCTTTGCTGATGTACTTTTAGCTCTTTCCCTGAATCGTGGTCTTTTGAAAGTTTCGTGGTCTTTTAAAAGTTTTGTGGTCTTTTGTCAAAAAAAAGTCCGTTTCGTGGTCTTTTGCAATCTTTTGTTTTTTTACCAAAAAGCCTTTTGAAATTGTTTTAATTTTATTAAGTTTATTTTATTTTATTAAGTTCCACATGCACCAGTTTATTTGATCAGAATTTAAAGAACAATCCTAGGGAAGGGGATAAGCAGCCCCCATGCAAACCACAAATTTTGAAAGAAACTTTTAGAAGACCACAAAACTTTCAAAAGACCACGACTTAGGGAAAGAGCCGCACTTTTTAGAGATATAGTGCTCATAAAATTTCGGCTTTATATTGTATTATATATGTCGTAGCCGAAAAGGTTTGAATTTTCTCGGCTAGCCGAAGAGTTTTCAAGCCATATGCTAGCCGATATGGTTTGAGATTTAAAAAAAGCCTGCCATTGGAAGAAATTACTCTTTCTTGTGATTCCTTTTTGGAGAATCCAATGCACTTGCTGACAAGATTTTCTTAATTTTCTTCACTTTTAAATTTGCCCCTTTTTCGCGCTCCCTGTGCTCTTTTCTATTCTTCAAACTTCTATTCGAAATTAACTTTTTAGGGTGGCAACGACTATTGCAGATAACATTTGATTTAAAGCAGCTAAACTTAGATGTGCTGGTCTATCGCTTTTTATCGTTACAGTTTTTCAAATGTTTGTAATTAAATTTCTAAATTTTGGTTTTTTAGGTAAATAATGGTGCGCGAGCTGGAGTTAGGTCTGCGTTGGATCGTTGGCAATAAAAGTTACGACGAATATGCTGGCATCTGCACAAATGGATGTGGGAATGGAAGGTGCAGCTGCTTCAAATCAAATGTTATCTGCAATAGTCGTTGCCACCACAACAATAAATGCAACAACAAGTGAAATCACTATATTTTAAGCTTATTAGTCGATTGTGATACGCAAAAATTTTGTTGATTGTGATTGAAGAAAATGTTTTAATAAATAGAGATTAAATATCATAATATTAAAAATGAAAGTTTGAAAGCTGAAAAACCTTTTCGGCTACGACATATATAAATATTAAATAGTTAATAATTAAATAATTTAGAAACCCACCAGAGTTTGGACCGTAGGTGACCCAAGTAGGCACTGCAGGGCATGCGGCATTTACCTAAATTGTTTTATAAGAACTGAAAACAAGCTGAAAATCTTTTTAAGTTAAGATTCACGTAAATCTAAATAATTTCTACATTTAATTCGAATAGATTTGGTCTTTTTATGGACTGGAACTGAGATTTGAACCAGCCGGCCTCTGACAATGAGCTACACAAGACAAGTATCCCAATTTCATTAGGGTATTACCACTTGCCTTATTTACCTTCTAAAAGTTGTTTAACTAATGTGTATTAATGGGTTAAATTTAGAGCACTTTAGAAGAAAGCTTCTAAAGTACTTAGTACTAATAAAGAAAGCTTCTAAAGTACTCTAAATTCAAATACCTGATACAAAGTGATGCCAACGAAGAAGAAGCAAAGAACGACGAGTTTCTGCATGGTGTTTTCTTTTCGAAAGATCTGTGTTTTGCTTCTTGCCCGCCATTCTTTTATACCCGTTTTGCCCATTCAACATTATCATTTCAATATTTGCCTAACGTTCACCCCGTTGCCATTTGAATGGTCAAATTTTTAATGGAAAATTTCAATTTTACAAAATCCAGACTAGAGTTTTTTGACTTTTGAAAGCTTGATAAAAAATCATAGCTCAAATTTTCAATGGGATCGTTTCGATGAAAAACTTTTGAAAGCCAAAAAAGGTAATAAAATTTCACCAAAGATCTCTTTCGTATGTCATTTTGTCGCCAAACGAATATAAAGCCTAGCGTTTTTAGATTTGATCTGTCTGACCTGTCTGATCTTCACCGAATTAACGTCAAAGATTAAAATTTGGCTTTGGGTTTCTATTAGTTTTTCCCAAATGTACTAAAAACTGATTTATCGTATTTTTCCAATTAGATCAACACTCTCTATTAGAACCCCAAATTTTTTGCATACAAAATAAATTACCTAGGTAGCATCTTTCGGAACTTTCAACTAGATGGCTGAATATCTTTTGTTAGCAACGTAGGCTGATTTTCCATCTCTTTTCATTATTTTTACCTTGTAACTTATCTACCTACCATAAATACTGTAATAGTACCCCACTCCCATAATGACGGTGCGGAGTGTTGCGTAGTCTAGCTTTGGACGCGTTTTTCTCGACACTGGTTTATGCTACAATGCGCGCTTAGGTATCAAAAAATAGCCCTGAATTTCAGCTATTTTTTGATACCAAAGACGCATTTTTTTGAAAGTACGGGCGCTTGGAAAAAAATGAAACACTAAAAAACCTTTGCGACTAGCGACAGTACGAGGGGGGTGGGGTACTGTTACAGTATTTACGGTAATTTTATTTCTGTTTTCAACTTTTTTTTGCTACAATTATTCACATTTTCTTTTTAGATGATGAAGAGAGCCGATGAGACAGTCAACGATCAAGCGCTCAAGCATCGATCGTTGATGAAACGAGTGATGTTTTGAGCGAATTTCGTGGACGTTATACCTCCGAACAAGGATCGAACCTAAGTTTTGAAGAAGAGTCAATCTCCGTTGAAAAACAAGGCGGTGACAAGGCGGACAAGAACGATAGTTTTGAAACTGAAGAAGTGCCGACTCGAAAAGGACAGAAGAGACAGGCTTTTAATATGCAAATAAAGCTGGAAATCATTTTTTTGCGAAGAAGAACTCGAACAAAGGAGCGGCTGAACGTTTCGGAGTGCCTCGATCATCAATTCAAGATTGGAGAAAGCAAGAAGCACTTAACCAGTTCGAAAAGGGGAAACGGAAACGGTTGGATGATGGTGAACGGCATCTAACGTCATCAGAAGTGAATTTATCATTCACGCCGTGGATTCGAACTCAACGAGCTGAGAAGAAGCGCATCTCTCGTCGAACCATCACGAATCAAACTGTCGCAATCCTCAAAGTGGCTAATTGTGATCTGTATATTGTATTGGGTGGCTCAATAGTTTTCTTGCTCGGCCCAAGGTTTTTTTTGAGAATCCCAATGCACAATGTTAAAAAGGACCAAAGGAATATGAAAAAACAATCATGAACTTCATTCTCTGGTGGTTCGTTCCGAACTTCGTATTGAACAGCATTGAAAAATAGAACGACGGATGAAAGATCTGAAATTTACGACTTATGAGAACTCATAGTCAGTCAAAAAGGTAAAAACGAATGAGAAATTTTTTTCGAGTGTGATGCAAAGACCTTGACAATCAGTATTTCATTTTGTGGCTTGATTTAGTTGTTTGCGAGATTAGGGTAGTTCTCTTTTAAAAGCATCTTCTTGAAAACTACATAATTAAAAGAACAGTGTCCATTGTGATTCTCGTAAAGTATGTATTATGCAAAAAAATAGGATTCTTTTGATGTATAATGTAATTTTTTGATGTATTTATTATATATAACAAAGCAAAACTGCTCAACAATTGCTTATTTCTCTGAAAAAGCGTATACCTCTTTGATGTGGGCCGCCACTTTGGGTTGAGTTGGCCTCAGAAATAGGCTCAGCGATGGGATAGCTTGCGCATAGTAAGACAACTTTCCCCCGAGGGTTTGCATTTTGTGGACCTCAATCTCCCTAGGACTAGGAGATTCCTTAATGAACATACGCAGCAATCCCTTCTTCTTCTATGGAAAAATGTGCAATCTTTTGCATCAACTATTAACCCCAGGTGGTCGACTACGTTTGCTGGCTTCAGCACTGACTTCTCCCAATTGATAGTGAAGCCCAGGGACATAAGAAGGTCCAGAGTTTGAAGAGGTTGACGCTTTTTTAGAGAAATAAGCAATTGTTGAGCAGTTTTGCTAGTGTAATATAATATTTGTTAACTGTAAACTTTATATACTTTTAAAAACCAAAGTTTTTATTCAAGCAAAAGCAAGAACAAAATTATTAAAGGTGTAAAATTAGACGACAAAGTTTTACTTTGACAACGACAAACGGCAACGACAAATCACCATGTTTCTACTTTTCTAATAGCCAATTCAGAAAATCGAAAACCGAGATAATAAATGGGTTTTTAAAATCAATCATCCTTTTTGAAACTTTTCGTTTAATGATGTTAAAATTGTCATCAAAACAATGTAAAGTTTCGACTTTTTGAAAATCTTTCGGCAAACTCAATAAGTACTGATCTTTCTCACCAAGAACTTTTACACGACAAAATTTCAGAGTTGTTTTTCGGCAAGCTTTCTGAAAATCCAGATCATTGAGATGGCGATAGATTCTGCATTTGTAGTCTTCTTTTTCCGATAACCGTTTCCACATATTCACTGATCTCTTTTGTAAATGATACATCAGTTTACAGATTATTGTAAAGATCGTAACTTGATCAATCACAGCAAGTGTTGAACAACCGAATAATGGAATTAATAAAGGCTCAAATTGATCTGTGATCACTTTTTCACATAATGGCTGATAAAAACGGGAAACTCTTGGTAATCTTTTGATGTCAAAATAGTCAAAAAGTGGTTTCACATCGTTGATTTCACTAATTTTCTTGTTCATCTGCTTTTCGTTGTCATTCATTCTGAATGTGATTTCTTTTTCTATTCTTGTAATCATTGTGTTTAAGTCAAAAACCTCAATTTTTCGAAACTCCATTTGCAGTCCATCTTCTTCCAGAATACAAAATTTCCAATACTTATTCTCTTGATTGTTCACCCATTCCCCATCAAACCACCGTACTTTCACTAAACTTTTCTCCAAAAATAAACTCCTCTCATCTTCAACTCTAACAAGAAACCATTGCTCTTTAGTCGAATTAAGGAAATAATTGTAGAAGTGAAAACCCTTTTTCCACATTTGACCATCTTTTAACACTTTCTGGTATTTTAGAAGATCTTCGTGTTCATCAAAGAGATCCAAATACCCGATCCATGTCTGTTTCAACGTAGCCAAAAGGTCAAAAGTCATCAAGTAGAACTGGTATTGAGCATGGAACTCATAAATCAATCGTTTCTCTAACAACTTCTCCAGGGAATCATCTCTGTCAATTGGCAGAATTGCTGGCACAAATTCATGAAAGATCAAATCATTCTTCTCAAGATTGCTTTGAACAAAATTCGTCACCATTCCAAAATATTTTTTCGCGTCATCGGATAAAGCTTCATACTTTTCAGTGAAACTTTTGCAGATAAGCTCGAATTTTTGAATAAATCCAACTTCTTGCTTTTGATCTTTCATGGAAACTGTTTTCTTGGATTCTGTTTTCTTGATTTGACTCGTAGTCTCAGTTTTGAAGTGGTTCGAAGGGTTTGAGACTTGCAAAGTGTCCCAACCAAATATATCATCTGAATTCTTTCTCTTCACAATGCTTCCATCGAACTCCATTGGTCGAACGATTTCCATTTGTTTTGGATCTTCCCGTGGTCGTTGTGATTCAAATCTTTTGATGTCTTCTTCCTGGAATTGGATAAATTTAATTTTAAACAAAGCAGATATTTTCTTCTCTTACTTTCTTTTTCTTCTTCCTTGTATTTCCTTTTTCTTCTCTGGCAAGCAGATACCGCATGGCTCAGTGGTTAGAGCATCTGCCCGGAAAGTAAAAAGGTCGAGGGTTCAATCTCCTCTCCGGAATCTTTCTTTACTTTATTTACTCGAAAGCTTTGCTAACTAGGAAAGGTCACCAACTTAAAGTGGAAGACGAGACCTATCCTATCTTGTTCAGTTTTTCACGGACTTTCCGAGTTAGCTTTTAGTTTTTTTTTTCTAAATGGCTTCAAAGGCAAGAAGTTTGGCTTTAAAGTTTTAGTTATCCTTTGTAAGACTTCCAGCGTTTCCCAAAAATGTGTCTGGCCGAGAGGTAGTGCTCTCGGTTACAAAGTTTTTGGTACGAGTTCGACTCCCAAATTTCTTGCTTTTACAAGCCAGCTTTAGGAAAAACTAAAAGCGGATTTGGAAAGCCCATGAAAAACTGAACAAGATAATAGAAAAGTTCTGAAATTCCACCTTAAGTTGGCGACCTTCCCTAGTAAAAAAATCCCTCGTAAAAAGCAAATTTTCAACTATAATATTACAACTCTGTTAATATCTTGACTTGAATCAGTGTTACGTTAAAAAGCAAATTTCAAGGCTTTACTTGACTCACCTTTTTCAATTGCACAAAGCCATCAATGATTTGAGCAATCGAAGGACGCATTTTGTACTCAAACGAACAACCGCTAAAGAAACACGATTTCTTGACTTTGCACAGTATTGACTAAGCCGTATTACTACAATTATTAACAACTAAAAATCCAACCTGATAATCATTTCTTGAAGTTTTGTTGGACATTCGGGTTTCTCGATAGGCACGATTCTTGTTTTCTCCATTGTATTGAAAAGCTTTTGAACATTAAAAGTATTGATTGTTGCTCCTTTAGGCAGAAAAACTATTCTAAATGAGCTTTTTGAGATGTTTTTCTTTTTACCAAACCTTCTTTCTATCATTTCCCATATGCATAAGAATAAACTGTAGACATCACTCTTTGGAGAATTCTGAATTGAATTGAAAATAAAGAAAGAAGTGTTGAATTGTGTTTCAAAATTACTTTATCCTCAATGTAAGTCTCAGGCGCCATGTAGAGATCAGTTCCCGTATGCCGAGAGTTCATTGTCGTTTTCTCGTACAGCTTCGTGGAACCAAAGTCGCCAATCTTCGGGATAAAAGTGTGTGTCATGAAAATGCTAAAAGAGCACAGTACAATGAGCCAACATCTACTCATCTACTCACTTTGATGGTTTGATATCTCGATGCAAGATTGTGTGATTTTCTTGAAGATACTTCAAAGCCCGGAATAAACCCTCACTCCAATCGACCACCATCCAAATCGTGTAACTGATTGAAGAGCTCATGATCACTAAAACGGTTTAGGATAAAGGTACAGGGTGGCGCACAATGATGGAAACTCGGTTTTTGACTCTAACTGTAACGACTAACTGTAGTTAATTGTAACTCGACGCTCAATCATTCAATTCCCCTAATTTCATTCAATTCAAAAGTAGTCATCGGTTTGAGTCTTGAAAAATTTTCTTGTTGATTTTTCAAGGCTTATCGTGGTATCAAAAATGGTTTTGCCTCAAGCGTCACACAACAAAATAAAATTGATTTTTTCGATGATTTTGTGAATACGGGGTCATGCATGGGCTGGAGAGCTCAAAATTCACGTATACATGAAAAACACACTTTTGAATTCCTCTATTTCACCACAAATCTTTCTACTTTTTGTTTTTATAAAATTGTTTTGATATTAGGATCTTGAAAATAAAAGAGACCCCCAAAAAGTCGGTTCTGGGAAAGCAGCAACAAGAGGATTTTCTTGTTTAAAAATTAACCATATTTTCAAGATTTTTGAAGTAACCAATCCAACAATGCAAACTGAAAGTGTGGCTAAAACATTGAAAGAACAAAACAAATTTATAGAAACAAAAAGTAGAAAGATTTTTGGTGAAATAGAGGAATTCAAAAGTGTGTTTTTCATGTATACCTGGATTTTACGCTCTCCGGCCCATGCATGACTCCGTATTGACAAAATCATCAAAAAAAAAATCAACTTCATCTTGTTGTGTGACGCCTGAGGCAAAAACAATTCTAATATGACGATGAGCCTTGAAAAATCAATTGTACTGCTCGGCTAGGGTTGTCAAAATCTTTAAAAATGTTACGGTTCTTCTATTCTAGGTAAAATTACGCTTAGATTTTATGATCAATTGTTGTTTTTCAGCTTAGGCTAACGTATTGTCTTAGAAAGCCAAAAAGATGCATTAAACGCAAAACTATATATGCTGTACGCTGTACAAGAGAAAGAAGAGAACCAACTATCCTGAAGAGAACCTACCATTCTGAAGAGTTCCTCTCTCGCAATATTCGGTCACAATCCCATATCGCCTCTTCTCAGGAATCCGAATCTTGTGATGATACTGGATAATGTTCAAATGTTGAAGCTTTTTGAGTATTGCACATTCTTTCACGAAAAGACTCTCAAAATCGCTGTCATTGCTTGGCTTCAGATATTTAACGCAAACCGCCCTGAAAATCTTGATTTAAACTCTTATATCTCAAAATTACGACTTCCCGGGTTCCACCGCAACTCGATAAACAGTTCCATAGGTTCCTTTACCCAGAAATTTGAGTGAACTTTCATCAAAATCTGTTTCATCAACACTTTTTTGTTTAGAAAGTGACATGGTTTCTGAAATTTTAATGCAGGAGAAGGGAAAAAGCAAATTTAAAAGAAACATCAGAGCACAATGTAAACAAGTGATATGATTACCGATTCTGGCAAGAAATTAAAACAAATTTTGAGTCATCATCTTGTAAATTGCAAAATCTCAACTAATCCCGTGGGTTTTATCACGTATTTCTTTTGGCTAACAATCGCTATTGTCTCAGCGTCTTATCACATTGTTTACTCAGCTCTTGAAAGACCCCTTTGTTACTTATTTTTACAATCACTCGACAAAGAATTGTTTTAATAGTCAAACCACCAGGCACGATCTCAAAGTGCTGCCAGCATTCTAATTCAAAATTTATGAAAGGTTTTGCTTTCTTTATAAATTGCTACACTTCATGATCAACTGGTTTTGTTTAACTGGTGTAAACTTTGGTGGGTGAATCTTGTTGAATGCTTGTTCAATGAAGATAGAGTTTAAAAATGATCTCTCCAATGGATCTCAACAATTAAAGAAATTGATCCACTTACTGGTTAGACAAAACCAGATTTCAAGGCAAGTTTTGTTAGATGAAGGTTTTCCTTGGAAGCACTTTTGCTTGTATTCAAATTCAACTTTATCTAGCTTAACATTTCTTAAAAAATTACATTGCGATGCCGGTTAGACAATATATTAGATTGGGGAATATAAAAGAAAAATTCCCAGGCCTCAAAGTTTTTTGATTCTATCCTGAATTTTGCTAATTTTTTGATATTTTGAATGAGAAGAGCTTCAACTTTTTTACAAATAATATCTTAGAAAGTTTTATGGTGAAACAGCCAAGAACACTTGTTGTAAAGTTGACTAATATTCAACGTCTATTCAAATCCATATTATGCCATGAAAGTTTTTTCCAAGTTTATAATTGAGTAAAGGGTACTTACCATAAATACTCTAATAGAAGTACATGCGCTTCTAATTTTTCTCTCCCCCTCTGGAATACGCTTCTATTTGAGTATGTGCTTTTAAATTTCCTCCTAAAAATTTTTAGACAACTCTGGAAGTCTTCTAGATCACTATGAAATCTAAAAGAAATTGACAAAAAAGATGAAGAATCTATTATATTTTGAATCTTCTTATATCTTCTTATCTTAAAATTTCAGTAAATTCCGTGGTGAAATAAGCAGTAAAACACGGGTAATTGACGTTAAAGTTGGGTAACTGAACCGGACGCTCGAGTCTGTGTATCAGCTAGCGCACAGGCTGTCAGATGGCGCACAGACTGCCAGATGGCGCACAGACTGCCAGATGGCGCACAGACTGTCAGATGGCGCACAGAGTCTGTGTGTCAGATGGGGCACAGACTTGTGGCTGTGTTCGCACAAAGAACGTTTGTCTTTTCACGCTCTTATCTTATCCTTAAACATTTTTAAGTATAGAAGAAGCAAATTTCAGCTATTTACTGTTTATTCGGTATAACTTTCATTATTTCCCAAGCTTTGAGCCTATAGATCGCGCAAAAATGATTCCTTTTTTGGCTGGGATAAGCGCCTAAACGGTAAATAGTTAAAATTTGCACTTTTTTACAGTTAAAAGCGCTTGAAAAACAAAATAGAAAAAATGAACAATGATAGAAAAAACTAATAGAAAAATAAACAATAACTGAGTCTAAAGAATCAACGGAAGTATAATCTGTAACCAAGCAAAGATAAGACGAGTTAGTCATCCACTAACAGTTATCCTAACAAAAAATAAAAGCCATTAGCAACTGAGAATTCGACCAATTTCTTACCAAACTTAAAACGAACCTCTTTTTTTGCTTTTTCGTATTGGATTCATTCCAAAGACTGCCCCTTTTTGAAGACAAAAGATTGAATTCGGCTGACTGACTGACGCCTGACTCATCGCCAAATGATAACAAAACAAACAAAAGCAGTGAAAAGAGCAAAATGTTGCCAATGACGCTCAAAAATGCTGATTTTCTTTCGTTTTTTCACGTAAACAAATGACTTATTCATAAAAAACAGTGATCTTTAGAGAAAATCGCAATTTTGCAAAAGCTTTTTGGTTTTTTTAAAAGTTGCATCTTAGATTTTGCAGATTTTTACAAATTTTGCATTTTCTTCTTTAAGATTGCATCTTAAATTGATGGAGACACAGCTTTTTCTCGACTCTTTCTAAAAAGCCAAGAAATTGTTCAGACTTTTCTAAAATTACAACCAAAATTTGGGTTACAGATGTTTTTACACACTGTTTACACAATGAGTCATTACAAAAATTGTTGAGACTAAAATTTGCTAAAGATATTTATATTAATTGTTAACATTTGGTTTTTTAAATCATTTTGTGGTCTCTGTCTTGTGCTAAAAAGCTTCACTGTATTTTGAAATCAAATAGCATCCGGGTTCATTCGAATTCTTGTTGTTTCTTTTTCGCTTTCTCTCTTTTCTGTTATTCTCGGTTCTATTCCGCGCATTTACGGCTGTTTATCCTTTCACTATCACAATATTTTGATAGTTTTGTTTAATGCTTTAAAATATCATCTTCGTTTATCATTTTCTCTTTGTTTATTCCTACAGTACTTTCAGATTTAAACACAAGCAAACAATTTTGATCGGAAATGTCCGATGTCTTGAATTTTGCTGCAACAGAAGCGCAAGATTTCTTGAATGAGCAAAAGTTTCTTCTCTCTGACGGAGCATGGGGAACGGTTTATCGAGTGAAAATGGACACTGGGTAGGTTAGAAGGAAATTAAAAATATACCAGTCAGTCAGATTAGCATTAGAATTCAATCCAAGTCACTGAGTTTTATATGAAATTCCCGCTTGATCGTCTGCTGCTTTTATCCTTATCATGGATACACTTATCCTTATCAATCCTTATCAATGGTTATATAAGTTATATACTGTATTTTCCCTAATAGTAGTGCATCCTAAGCTTCGTCTAAATTGCTCGAAATCTCGAGAACCGCTTATCAGAACCTATCGATGTGGGATCGGAAAATATAGCTAACGATTAGATCTTGTGGGGGATTAGGGTGTTGAGCTTTTGCGAAAACTTGGAAACCGTAAAATAGTCATCAAATCGGCTTCGCGGGGTGCACTACTATTAGAGAAAGTACGGTAAGTACCAGCGGAAAACGCTCTAACATTCGCGTTTTCCACACAATCTAACCCTCGCCCCTTTTTGCCAATGGCTGCGCACAGACGGATGGACGGACAGCCGTCTCATCTGCTTTATATATAGTAGATGTTTATTGTTAAACTCTTATAGTCAAAGATACCTGTAGTTTTCTCACTACAGGACACTGTCAAGTGAAAAGATCCAGTTTGTAGAGCTCATGTGTTTCTGAAAGGTTACATATTTGCCCTTACAAGCTGATAAGACTAAACAAATTCTTGTTTTCAATTGAATTTAAAAGGTATTCGTCATAATTATCAAGACTAATTTGCTCTGTATTCCTAATTACTAGTGGGGTTTCCCTTGAATTCACTAGACGTGGCTAGAGCTATGAATGAATAATAATAATCGAATGAATAACGAAACAAAGTTTCTTTGAAAAACGTGGGCAAAAAAATGTTTGAACAAAGCTTCAAGAAATAATGTTTAACCCAGAGACAAAAAGGAATCACTTTGCTAAAAATTGTGGAAGCATCTCGAAAAAAAGAAGCCAACTTTCACAAGACCAGATGAGAGAAAATTCTGACTAAATGGGAAAGAAGGCGTCCTTTTATACGCGTGTGAGCGCGACATTGTTTAAGGTTCGGTATTTCTAGTGTCTTCTTAAATTGCGGCAGCTTTTTGGTGACTCGTCGTCACAGTAATACCTTTTTTATCATACTGTAGTGTGTGTTGCGACAAGAAAATATTGAATGCGTCAAATAAGGCAATGTCTGGCTTGAATCAAACGTGGCGTGTAAATGAAAGCTCTCCAATTGAATGACTCGTTTATTAAATCACTCTCAAACTTGGGTAATTAAACCATGGTGTAAAAGCAATGAAAGAAAGAAAACAGAAAACAATGTAGAATGATTTAAGATTACTTTACAGACTAATAATTGAGACGATACAGTGTAAGCAAATGAGAAAAATAAATTTCTTTACGGCCTATGTCGCTACTTTATTCCCACGCTTAGCTGAATAACTTTTAGTCACTTAAATATTTATCTACGGTAGTTTGAGCTTTGTTTAAGATCAAGGCTATTTGCATTGACTTGGTTGCATTTTTACGTGATAGAATTTCATAGTTTAAAAGTTTAAATGGTAATATTTTCAGATTCGTTGTTGCAAAGTACATGTTGATTAACAACAACGAGATGGAGTGCGAAACTTTGAAGAACTTGAAACACCCAAACATTGTTGCTTATTTGGGAAGAAAACTGAACCTCGAAGAAAGCATTTATGCAATAATTATGGAATATTGTGAACGAGGAAGTCTTCGACATGGTGTGTGATAAAATTAACTAACAAAAAGTGTATTCAGTTCTCGAAAATCCACAAATTGTCTATTCAATTGAACGAGCCATCTTTTGGATCAAATCTTTGTTCGATGTTTTAAAATATCTCCATTCTCTTGGGTTTACACATCAGGATCTGAAACCAAACAAGTAAAGCTAGGCTGTTTATTAAAATTTTCAGATAACAAACTTATTGGGTTGTCCAGTTATGAATGCGCCTTTTTACTATTTTGTAAGATACCGAAATCAAGAAAAAGATATATATGAGTATTATTCGAAAGCTGAAGATCTCCTCTACATTTTGATATAAAAAGTCTTTGAATTTGTTCAGCTTTTGGGCAAATGGACTGCACAGAAGAAGAGGTGGCCAAAAAATGGAAGGGTGCCTTTGGATCAAGTTTTGGCTCCGCTCAAATTGAGTTAACCGTTTGATGTTTGGCCAATAGATATATCAATAGAAGTTTGTTTAAAATATAACAATTTCAGAGCCTCTTTACTTTTCTGGGCAGTTATTTTACACCATAAAACTTGAGGAATAGCTAAGCTGGAATAGGTTTTTTCGAAAACGACCTCTCACTTTGTGCAGTCAATTTCTCAAAAAGTTGAATGAACTCAAAGACTTTTTATTCCAAAATGTAGAGGAGATCTTCAGCTTTCGAATGATATATAACACTCATATACATCTGTTCGATATCTTGAGAAATTTACAAAATAGTAAAAACGCGCATTCATAACTGGACAACCCAATAATTATTACCTTTATTTAGCATCTTTGTCACAACAAAGTTTGTGCTGAAAGTTGGAGATTTCGGCAGTGCAAAAATGTGTGATGCAACAATGTCCGCCGCAGATAGTGGAGGAACTTATCGTTACATGTGCCTGGAGCAATTCAATGGAAAAGTAGGAGATTTTAACGGAATATTAATTCCGTTATTGAGGTCAGAAATTTAGGCTCAGTATTTTAGGTCTCAATTCGAAACGACGTCTATAGTATTGGCTTAGTCTCGTGGGAAATCGTTGAAAGAAGGTTGGGTTTATACAAGATTCGCTTTGAAAATGTTTTCAGAAAAGTTTTCTCTGTGTACGGACACCGAAATTTTGAGCATCAGCGCTTTTTTCGAGAACTTGTGGAAGGAAAAGTAAAGTTAGAGCAACCCGAATGCCCGAGTGATCTTCAGGAGTTGATTCTGAGGTAAATGGATTAGTTTATATTAGGTTGGTGCAGATGAAACTTCCGTTGGAACCATAAACAAAATCTATTATAAAAATCCTAATACAGAACCTCAATCCAAAAGATATTCGCCATCATTATCAATGACTCTTTGCGATCTTCCGCGCAGAGAATGGATGCCCTTTTCGAAGAACTCGGGCAACTGCGACTCGAAGAAGTTGGACACCCAGATTTCCAAGTCCAAGTCTGGAACCAAGTCCGGCATTGGCGTTTGGGCAACACGTCATCGCCGAATGCTTTGCACAGAGCACGATAAGATTCCGCAGGCGTTCTGCCTTGTTTGCCTGTTTAAAATCATACAACAAGCAAACCAGCACTCGAAATTTTTGGTCAACCATTTTCTAGAAGCTAAAAATTACTTCAAATTAAGTAAAACGCATGAGTCTTAGATATCAAAAGACGCGCAAAGAGACGCTCTTTCGCTCTTCAGATAGACAAATATATTCAATAAAAACTTTTATTAGGTCCAAAATATAAACAAACAAGTGTGACGGAAGTTTCATCTGCACCAACCTAATAATTTGAATCAGCTCCTTGGATTTTAGAATAACAAGCTTTGTAGGCAAACAAGAAAATGAATACGAAACCTTAATTTTTTATTAGTTTTTAGGATCATTTACAAAGCAAATGAGAAACTGGAGAATGATTTTAGAGCCATCGTCTTTGACCACCAAAAGCGACTTTACCCAGAAGAGCTCTTAGCAAATTTGAATCTAATCAAAACGAAGGTATTGATAAAATTGATTTCAGATTGTCTAGGATTAAAACTGATTTTCTAGGACGAACAAGACTTCATCAAGATCCTCGAGGCACAAGAAAATCTCATCCGACCGATTGGTTTCGATAAAACAATGAATTGGGTGGTTTGCAAAAAGGATCCATTCGAAGAACCACAAGAAAAAGTCTCAAAAGAAGACTGGTCATTTCAACTCACTGAAAGAGATCACTTTGGACTTAAAAAGGAACTCCTTGACAAGTTTCACCTCAAATTTTCAGCGATTAGAGAACTATTTGAGGGTAAGTTGTCCAATTTGCCCAATAAAACAAAAGAAGAATTTTTGGCGAAAGTCGACCAATTCTTAAATGATCCAAAAGTTCTACCCACTTTTGACGGCTTTGAGGAAATTGAACTGAAAATGGAAGACCTTGAGAAATTATCAATTTTTGATCTTTTTCAGAAAGCTTATAAAGCTGACAATCAATCCGTTTATCAGTTCTATCATCGAGCCATTGATATTGTGTTAAATTTCATGACTCCTTCAATCGGATACTCGGATCTTTTCACAAACTTCTCCCAAATTTTGGAATTCCCGAAAATCCATCAAGCATCCCCACTTTTCACCAGAGATTTCTATTGGCGCAGTTTTTTCTCAACTCAATGGAAAGAGCTCTGGATTTTGTTGAAAGTTGAGAGAAATGAGAGTCTTTTTGTTAAGGGAAATTTTACTCAATTTGCATGGATCAAGGGGTACTGGCCTGCAAAGTACAAGACCACAAAATTCTTTGAGCACAAAAATGAGAACGATTCAACGAAAGAAGTGAATGTGATGGAGTTGCATTCGGTGGAACGATTTGGATTCGATTTCATGGTGGCTCAAATCAATAAGATACAGTTCACAATGGAACTCTATTTGCGGGAACAAGGACAATCAAAAAGGAATCGAGTCAAGTTGGAACTTGGAGGTGGGGTTGCAGATTGATATTCTTACGATTCATTGTCGCTAGTTGAATAGAAAGCAGGAGTCATTGATTGAATATTTCAGCTACAGTCGTGAAACAATAGGTTTGTGTTGATTATAGGACATTTGATACACCTGCCCCCTTTTGCAATCAGCAATCTAACTTTGAGCTCAAATATCTTGGGGTTGATTTGTCCAATTTAAATATTCTTAGTATCATTAGATGTGCCAAGTTTTCCTCTGTCAATTGGCGCAAAAACTATTGAAATTTCTCAAATTTCTTGGTGTTCTGCCGTCTAAACACCAAGAAATTTGAGTTCAAAGTTAGATTGCCAATGGCAAAAGGGACAGGGCGCGTATCTAAGCCCCCAAGTCCCGCCCCCTTCGTCATTGGCAATATAAGTTTGAGCTCAAACATCTTGGTTTTGGGCTTTCCAATTTAAATAGTTGTGTACCGATCAACAGAGAAAGACTTGGCGCATCTAATGATACTAAGAATATTTAAATTGGGCAGCTCAACACCAAGATATTTGAGCTCAAAGTTAGATTGCAAATGGCAAAAGGGGCAAAAGGTATCAAATGTCCGATAACCCTTGGTGTTTCCTGTGTCTTTAAAGGATTTTATAGTCTACAGTAAAACAACTAAAACATTAAATTGAATCGTTTCAGATGATCTCTATCAACTCCACGATCCCCCACACTCAATTTGCCATCATGACAGAAAATGTCCGAAAATTGGTGGAGTTCCATGGGAAAGCCCTGAAGATGCGCAAATCCCCTTCTACGAATGCACAAGTCAAGAAGATATCGATCGAATCAAAGCCTACTCATTGATCACTCAGATTTTTCATTTCGGACAACGTTATCGCTCCTTTCGACGAACAAATCTCTGTTTGAAAGGTTTCGTGGAAAAAATGAGAAGAATTTCTGAAACAGAGGAGTTTCAAAGAGTTCATTCAAAAGAGTTTAGTTTTGCAAAATTCCAGAAGCAAAACGGAAAGATTACCGATCTTTTTCTGTTAGAGTTACCGGAGGAGAAAACAACAAAAGTTTGGTGTTTTGATGGAAAGTTTAATTTTATGGGAATCGAGTGTTCAAAGAAGAGAGTAAACTTGGAGAAATTGCAAAGATTTTCAATTCGACAATTGTTTGTAATGTTTTTCTCAAGTGTCAAAGAAAATGATGGACTTTTTGACTCTAGCAGAAAACCAAAGAAATATATCAAAAGAGCCAAGCAATTATGATCAGATTAAAGCTAATGCTTATTTAGTAGAACTGATTAGTTTGATGACTTTGTTTTTGTTACTAGAGACTGATGCTTACTTTGCTTTTACACAAACTTTTCATTGTGCAAAGGTTTTCATTATGTTTTTATTACTTTATTGTTTTATTATTGTTATTATTATTTTATCATTATTTTCCAGACTGCTAACAAATTGTTGATTGTGTCATTTCCATGAAAATAACAAACAAAGCTCAAAGTTACGTTTTAAAGTTACAAAAGCGAACAGATAGTTTTAAAAAGTTCAAAAAAGTGAACAAGTACTATACTTTACAAAATTTAAAGTGTAGGATTAGAGTGGAATTTGTAAGATTAAAGTGTTATCTAAAAGTTGTATTCAAAAAGTGACCGTAATCCGTTAGGATTTGATGAGGTCGCTTTTTGATCAATAAAACATTACAAAAAGAATGTCAAAGCCAAGAAACGAGCTCGGCTTGGATGTTTATTTGTAAGCAAGACGCAGTACCGGTTTCGGATGTTTTTGCCGCTTTTCAATCATTTTGGCCTAATAGACCTAATAGTGAAATAGGCCGATTTTTCACCATTTTTCAATCATTTTGTTCTAAGCACTGGTCAAAGTTGCAAAGATGTGCTATATCTCAAAAAAATACCCGTTTTCTCCACTTTAATTTGAGATCTAAGCGCGCAGAAATAAACATACTAGGGCTGAGATATGAGCGTTTATTTGAGAGTAAACCTGGACTAGAGGGGGCTCTTCTACAGGGTGTCCCAAAAGTTCTTATACTTTTTGTAAACGGAGAATTTGACTTGAAAAAACGCTATTTTTGAAAAACTAACGCCGGATTATCAAAATTCAGATATTTTTATCCCAAATATACTTTTTTTGCATAAAAGTTGCAACTCTAAACAACTTTTTGATGAGGATTTTTAAAGGTTGTCACAGCGCTTTTTTTGCTTTTGAAACCCGTAGAATCGCTTGAAAATCTTTCGTTTTTGAGATATAAAGTTCTTTTTTGGCTTGTTTTCAAGAAAAAAAACTTAAGTCTATCAAATGGTCACAACAGTTTTTGCAAAAAAATTTCATTCTGCAAAGTTCAAGTCAACTTTTGCAAAAATCTTTAGTGACTAGACCCGGATGTAAAAAATCCTAGTCAAAAAGTTGTTCAGAGTTGAAATCTTTTTATGAAAATGGGCATATTGGGGTAAAAATATCTGAGTTTTTAGAATCCGGCGTTGGTTTTTCGAAATTCACGTATTTTTCAAGTTAAAAATCAGGGTTAACTTTTGGTATAAGTGTGCAAAATGTAGAAAAGAAAAGCGAATTTCTGATATTTCTTTAGATTCATAATCTCTAGCTTATATTGGGCTTTATGTGTCTAAATCTCTTCCATTTTCTCTATAAGATCTCTTTGTGTAGATAAATCAGTTTCGAGTCTATCAATGAACTACCAGCGATGGAAAATACAGCAAATATGTAATTATTTTTATTTTCCACAATAAGAAAAAGAGTATAAGAAAGTATAGGTATAAGTGTAAGACGTATAAGTATAAGTATAAGCATTTTGTAGTGTAAAAATTACAGAAAAAGCATAAGAACTTTTGAGAAACCCTATATTAGAATATTCACGGTAGGACTTGAGATTGAGGTCAAACTCGTCAGTTCCTTGAAACTGGCCACCTTCTTGCCACGTTTGCATTGGGCAGAATTTTTCCTGTATATGATTCTAGCGAGCTTGAACTCTTTATCATTAAGCTCATTATATTCTTATTTATTTAATAATTTATCTCCATCTCCCTCGTCAACTGAATGTCGTCGGTTGTGAGGACATCGAGTGGTTTTTCTCCTTTCGCTTTCGGAAACACACAGCGCTGATAATGCTAGAGCAGGGAATTGTTTTGGTTTCATCATGATTTCATCAATCAAGTTCATCAAAACGTACCTGGCCACAAAAATGCATAGAGAAAATCGATTGAAGGAAATAAGGCTCGTAAACGCTTTCTGAACATTCACACCAAAGAATCCGTACACCCAAATTTGAACGAAAAACGGGAAAATAGTGGTGAACATGATGTAGAATGAGTTGAATAGCATCTAAAATTGACTAAAAGTTTTTAGAAACTGAAGATTTTGCAATGTCAAGCAATGAATTACCCAATTCTCTCACCTGTATCATCAACAAACGCTCGGCTTTTGTCGTCTTTCCACTTCTTTTCAACTAAAACTAAAAGTGGAATCACCATTTCTTTTCCACTAACCGTTTTCATTTTGTGATTTGTTAGGAAATCCATTGCACACATCGAAAAATAAGGCAACGTGCTGACAAGCACTTGTGCAAGAGAAGATGTATCGTGATCGGATGAAAACAAAAGGGCAAAAATTCGCCGAAGACTCACCTGAAGTTATTATCTTTTAGTTTCATCTGTACTTTGAACAAAATTTTCTCATTATAACTGACTCCAATAAAAAAGGGAATCAAGAATTGAGCCCATGGAAAGCGAAGAGTCCGACGATAATATTGACCATTGAAAGCAACAGCAAAGAAGCGACTAAACGAATTTGTTTATTGTGAAACTGTACTGTAGGCAGGTAAGATTCTTTGTGATATTTTTGAAAGACTTAGCTACGGTTATCGATAATTGCCTTTTGGTTATTGCCTTTTGTTACCGTGGCGCAGTCGGGAGCTCGCTTCTCTACGGCCGACACGGCCCGGGTTCGACCCCCCTGTAGTGCCACTCAATTTTCATTTTTTCATTTTTTCATTTTAAATGGCATAACTATACTATATTTAAAGGCTTTTAAAAAAAATTTCAGTTTTTTTGACCCAAAGACGGCTGAGAAAAAGCTCGTACAGACGGACGGACGGGGACTTTTATGGTGCGGCGAAAGTTCTGTCCTTTTTAGAATGCTCTCTAAAAACTTCCTAGTTGTTTTTTTATAAGTGTTTATAACCAAAAGATAGCCAATCTTTTACAGAATTTAAATCTTATTACAGTTTTTAAATAAATTCTTTAGATTTTGAGTTATCGCTATTCTATGCTCTTCAAAAAAGTATCTATAGCACATCTTTTTCCGCTTTTTCATAGCAAAATTTCTATAAAAAGTACAAACTTATTGGAAACTGCTGTTTTATTTCCAGTTTTGAACTGATAAGCAATTTTTTTGAATACTTCTAATCGTCTGAGTACTAAGTTTGACAGATTTTCTTATACTGGTAATACTGGTGCGACCACAGAGCTCACGCAAATTGGGATAACTCAAAATTTAAAGCAGCTATTTAAAAAGGTAATAAGATTTAAATTCTGTGGATAATTGGCTATCTTTCGCTATAAACACTTATAAAATAATAACAATGAGAGAAAATTCAATTAAAGAGAATTTAAAAAGGATAGAACTTTACAAAGCACCCTGTATATAGTACAGGGTGGCCAGTAAGTACGAAAACGCATTTGAAGCTTTGTCCTGGACTTTAGCGTCGGTTTCAAGAAGCTAGAGAGGTTCAGAAAGCTTAAGAAAGTTAATTTCTATTTGAATAAGCTTTTCTTTGTTAAATAGAGCTTTGCTAATATTGGTTCTGATGAATTGCTGCAAAAGCTAAATTTAGCAGATTTCTGTGTATTTTTTTGGATAACTGACGGGAACTTTGATTGATTTTTGTCAAAGATATTCGTAGTAGGTTTTATATTGAGAATAATCAACGGTCGCCTTATCGCCATTAGAGAAAAAAAGTAAAAAAGGCTTATGGTTTCCATACGTATTGATCACCCTGTAGCTTTCCATAAGAGTAATTTCTCAGGGTTTGGCTTGAACTAGAAATTTTTGTCAACTATAAAAACAGCCTCGATGGCTCTAGGGCTTTGTACCAGTATACCAGTATTTTGTGAAAGTGATGCATTACTCAGAGGTAAATTACTGTGTGAGTAAGACTCACACAATTGATTTTATTTTACAATTACATTATATTATATAGTCTGTGATTGCTCTGTTCTTTGCTTTTGAAATTATGGCGCTAATTTTTCTTCTGGGAATTTTATGCTTCTTTTTCTTGCTTTTTTAATTCTTCCAAAAGTTGCTATATCGCGAAAGATCGTGGGAATTTGGATCAAAAGGCAAAAAGGTTCACCTAACCGAGATCATCAATTGACTGTATTGAGCTGCATCCAAAAAAGCGAATGAGGAAATATATGAAAATACCCAAGAATATGTAGAGATGAAGCCACTTGAACACCTGAACTTTTGGAAGTTTGATCTGAAATTTTCATTTACTAACTGCATATTGAAGTTTGACGCATCGCAAAGAGTCGGCATCAAATAAAAGATTGCAAAGAGGAATTTGCTGAGACTTTCGCCAAAAGCCAATAATCTGAACAAGATTAGATTATTTTACAAGACTTTGGATACCTAATTGGAAACGATAAGCGATCATTCACCAATGAATAATATGCTGCTAAGATGGCGATTGGTAAGCTCAAAGCGACTGCCTAAATTTGTTAGTTAAAGATGCTGGTGTATTCGCTATAGTAAGACAAAAGGATGCAAATGAAAGCTGAATTCTTGAGCTCAAGTTAGAACACAAGGTTGTTCCAATCTACAGCCTGTCAGGGCAAACCACTGACAGACCTGCGCCTGATGCTTCTCTTAGGTCAGGCTTGGTCAGGCTCCACCTACTATTAGCAGCCTGCATTAATCTTGTAAGCTAGACCAATCCAGAGTCGATCAGATTTCATGCCCAGCCCGGTTTCTGGCGGACCCTGGAACTTTTGTGGATCAGGTCTGCGGAAAGCCAGACCTAGCCACTCAAGAAATGCTATGACAAAGCGCTTTTAGACCAACCCTGTTAAAAACCATTTAAAACTCACTCCGGCAGTAATTCTATTGAGCCAAACAATAATCCCATCTCTCAAATCACTCTCGATATCAATAGGACTTGTCAACAAAGCAAATTTGCATTTGGCAAATATAGCACATGTCTCGTTTACCACTGAAAACAAATCAATTACTAAATTCAAAAAAATGGCAACCTGTCAGTAAAGCGGTGATGAGAAGTACTTGAAATAAGTCAGAATATCTATCGTAAAGCTGCCTCATTGTCTGAAAGTTTGTACGTTTAACAAAAACAGATATTGAAACCAAAAATTTGACAGAGCAAACTTCAGCAAAGTCTGTCCAGTGAAAAACTTTGCGCTAAGTCCAGCAAGAGTCGATGTGAACTTAACAATGGACTTTCGAAAAAAAGCAAATATTTTAACACTCACCTTTTTGGTCGAAAAGTTCTCTTCCTGTGAAAAGTTCTCAGGAAAATTTTCCAGAGCATGTAATGGGTCGCACGCGGGTAATTTATACTATTAGGTTGGAAAGAAAGTTCGTAGAAAAAGTTTGCACGGTGATTTCTCAAAAACCAAGCCATGAATTCTTCCCAGATTTTTTTGCTAAACTTGACTACCGTATTTTCTGTAATAGTAGTGCGCACTACTATTTTTTCAACCCCCCTCCAGCCTGCACTACTATTACAGAAAATACGGTATATTTCAAAAAGTTTTGGACAAAAAATCAGAGTGGGGTTCAGGTAAAAAATAAGAGATTTCTTTAGTTGAAGTGACTTGGTCACTTTTTGAGTGACCAGCCTTTAGACAAGTTTTTAATGGATTAATGGATAGGCAATGGGTCCCATTCAAAACCTAAATGAAGTACTTAAAATAGGGAAAATTTGTGATTAGGGCCAATTTTATGTAATGCTTTAACTTTTCAGAATCACCTATTTTAGCAAACCACTCAGTGCCAAGATGGAGACACGAAAAAATGGTTTTTGAAATACAGCTACCCTGTAAGAAATCTTTGACCAAAAATAGAGATTATAGAGCGTATTGCTCATTTATGCTAGCTTTACCTCATAAGGAATTGTTTTTCTGGTGCAAAAAGTGAGCTGAATTTTAGCTGTGTTAATCTGATCGCCAAAAGTCTCAGGTTCTGTTCAGACATACTTTTAACCCAATCGCGACCACCTGGGCCACCACCCGGGAGCTAACCTGGAGTAACTTGGTAAAAACAATCATATCTTGAGCTACATTGGATCTTTTTTTGAGATCTTTATTGCAAGTGATTGCTAGCAAGATACTGAAAAGCTTTGTGTTTTTAGTTTTTCGATGTGGTTTTAGTTTTAGTTTTTTGCAAGGTATTCAGTTTCGAGAAAGGAACCAGATCATCTAAAAAGGGCCTCGTCGCGAATGTGTTAAATTCAGGCAACTTTACAAAGCTTTACAAGCACTTACAGCTTCGTACATTTTCAGTGCGCTTCTCGAAAGGATCGTTCAGTGCTAAAATCAATCCTTTCTCCCTAGGCTTTTTCCAGTCTAACACTTAAAGGAAAAATATTTGCTTTGAAAAAAGAGCAGTCCTTTTTGAGAAAACTTCCTTAGCCGTTCACGCAAAAAAAAGGATGACAAGATGAACAAATAACCGGCTTGAGCACAAACTTCCCTTGAAACAGAGCCAGATCACCTATATAATCCGATCTTAGCTTTAGGTCTGGTTTCAGAACGTCACCATGATCTATTCTTTGATTATTTTTCAGATATTTTGTTCTATGGCTTTAGCTAATGGGGGTGATAAAGTAAAAAAAGATAAGGACAATATTCTCAGCGATGATGATCTCAAACATTTCAATGATTTCAATGCTAAGTGAGTAAACGTTTTTCAAACGATCTTCAAGTTTTTTTTTTCAAAAGTAAGCTACCGTTTACTCTCAAAATTATGCACTTTTTTGCATTCCAGTTGTAAATTCTTAAAATCTTTTTAGACTTAAGCTGCAGTTTGGGCAAGTTTATAACGAAAAGCTGAACATTTTAGATTTCATCGAACTTGTGCAGATGAGGCTCCGAAATGCAAGGAACAAAAGCTTAATTTTGCCAAGAATCTCGTAAAACTCAGAAAAATCAAAGAGCAAACAAAGGAAAAGAGGTAACGATAGTTTGCTGTCGAATTTCAGGCCATTTTCAGCTTTGTTGTTGGGCTCCATCCATTTATGGATGAGTCGGAAAAGGAGATGAGGAAGGTGAGAATTGAATATTCAATAACATAAGAATTGCAATCACAAACTGTTTTAGAGATTGATGGACAAAGAAATCATGCCTAAATCAATTGGAATGAAGCAAATGCAGAGGTCACCGGAAGGAGCAAAGACAAAGGTCACAAAAAGAGTGACTAATTTGTTTATTAAAATATCAAATAAATTCGAAATTTATCTAGATTTAAGCCATTTTAGCGAAATTCTGTTTTAGATTAACCCATCTTCTTTTGACTGGAGAAACACTGGAGCCGTCAACCCTGTGAAAGACCAAAAACAGTGTGGATCATGCTGGGCTTTCTCGTAAGCTTTGTCAATTCTGTTCATCAGTTTAGAATCCTGTAATTTTTGTTAAATTCATATTAAGTTGTCTATTTTCTACTTAATTAAAGCCTTCTACATTAACTTTTCAGAACAATCGCTACAGTTGAAACCATTGATAACTATGTGCATTGCCGTGATACTACCGAAAGTCGGGTCTCCTATTCTGAACAGGTAAATGATGCATTGCAATTGAAAATCTAATCTCAACAGATGGTAATGGATTGTACATATTATAACGCCTCGGTTCCTGAGAAAGAACAATATGATGGATGTGATGGTGGTTGGCCATCATCGGCACTCAAGTGAGTCTTTTCTTAACCATTCTCATCCAAAAATAGTTTTAGCGGTTTTCTAACAATATCAATAAAATTGTTGAGGTTGTAAATAAATATTTAGACGCATCATGATCACTGGCACAGAAACAGAAAAGCAAGACCACTACTTGGCTGGAAAAGGAGTTTGTCCATTAGGACTTGCGGAAAAGAAAGTGAGCAATACATCGCTTTTTGAGCTCCTTTTTGAATAAGATTTCATTGAACACTTTAATTTTTGTTAACTCTCAGTTTTACAATACAATTTAGCGACCTGTGGCCGCGCATCCGATCTCCAATTGGGCAAACCTCACCGGAGATGTTGATGCGATGGTCGACTTCATTGCCAACAAGGCTCCATTTGCCTTTTGTATCAATTTCTCCCTTATCACCTAGCCAATATTTTCTAGGCATGATGATTTGTGAAGACTTTTTCGGGTATGAATCCGGTGTCTATGATAGCACGAACTGCACTGAAGATAATGCTGTTGGTGGACATGCTGTTGCTGTGATGGGATACGGTAAGTTCTTCAGAACATGTTTGTCTTCAAGAGTACGTGTTGTAATCGATTACTCATTTGTACTCAGGGACCACTGATACTGGAATCGATTATTGGCTCGTCCGAAACTCTTGGGGACCTACATGGGGAGAAGATGGTTACTTCAAGGTAACTTATTCTTCTTATTCATACTTGAAAAATGGTTATGGTAGTTTTTAAGACAGCAATTATAAGTTCTTGATTAATTTCCAATTCTCAGATTCGAAGAGGAACTAATGTAGCTGGGTGTGAGGATTCGAATGTCGCTGGTCCGATTCCTGTCGATTCACGTGATTGTCCCAATAATAAATTGCATCGGGCACATCACCATATCAATCCTCATACACAACAGGATTTTGTTTTGATTTGAGTTTGAAATAAATTATTAAACAAAACTCGATTTGATAAAGCTGCAGGACAAAGACAAAGCTGACGAAGCGTTATTGTTTACAAAACACATTCTCAAAACATTCGTGGACTAATTTTGGAAGATTAGAAATAAACAGACGATTTTACATGAAAATAGCCTTCAAAATTAAAGCTTACATGTAGAATTGATTGAGTTCATAAAGAAATTCATCGTCTTCGTAACAAAACCGATTAGTTGTTCCTAATTCAAATTGGTGTCCTCGCCACAAGCTCTGACGAATGCGGTAACCCGGAATTGCCCGCAATCTTCACCCGTGCTTCGAAATATTGGATGGATTCGGGTTCTCGCGAGCAGGAGAAACTTCTGTGAGACATATCACTTTAAATACAATAAATCCAAGTACAATGCAAGTTTACAAGACAAGTTTGCAGTTGTAAATTCAGTTTGTAATTAAAATTTCTTTATTAAATTGTTCTATTGAACCGTTATTTAATTGGTGTCTTTGAGGAGAGCTTTGTCGTGCCTCCATTTCTCTTGTATTCAACATTGAAGATGATCACCACAAAACTAAGAAAACCTTTTGAGAGTAAAGGCTTTCAGTTTCAAGAACAGTAGTTGTTGACTTACCAGAGCATACAGTGAACGATAAAAGGCGTGATTTCAAGCACCAAATAATAGAAAACCGGTCTTTCTGACGTGTAGACGTAATTCACGATGTAGTTGCCAATGAAATAACAAATAGTGATGAGGTGAGTTGTGACTAACTAGAAAAAATTATCTGCTTAACAGAGCAGACTTGATGAAAAGAAATGTTTATCTCTAGAATCGTGGGCTAGCCGGATCCGATCTGATTTTTCCAAAAAACCCTGTGCATGTAGTACACTTACCATGATTGATAGGCGAATGTCGGCCCGTCGTCTTGAAATTGAAGTCCTCGTCTGAAAAGAACGCTCATTTTTCGTTCCTTTTTCAAAACCCACCAGTTGCCGAACTTTCCAAAGCACTAACACATCCAATAACATTGTTATTCCCAACACCGCATACATAACTTTATCAAAATTTAGAGTAAGAAAAGATGCCGTTTCACTCCAAGCAAAAAGATTTGTGTTGAAATATTCGGATGGCGCGTAGTACCATCCCCCGTAACAGACAAAACCCGTCTCTGGGTTTACCACTGAAATTCTTCAATGAAATTCTTGAAACGAAATGGATTTTGATACTCACAATTGCCGATTTGATAGCAGTACACTCCAACAGGAACGGCCCAAAGAAAAAAGCTGTGTGGCAAGGCGATTGTTTCAACTTTCCTGTAGAACAAACCTCGGAAAAACACCGCAAACACTCTGAAAAGTGAAAAGTCTATGAAAGAAAGATTTTGACAGATTTACTGCTAATTTACCTGTTTAAGCAAAGGCCATGTCCTTTGCATTGAATAGTGCATACCCAAATCAAATGAAATTACGAGTCGATTGATTGTAAAGCCGGATAGGAAATAGCCATCAGGATTCACGCATTCCCAACTGAAGTCAAACTTCTTATAGTTTTATTGATTATTTATTGATCAAACTACTTATAATCTGTTCACTATGCCGTTTATTAGTTACAGTAACCTTTTACGCCAACCTCAACACACAGTAAGCCTTGTAAAATTGCGTCCACGCCTCATTGAATCGACAATAACAATCCAGAAAAAGATAACATTTGACGGCTTTTGAAATATGTGCATTTCGGAAGATTGTCCTTGCGCAGAAAAAGTTCAGAGCTAGGCCAAAGATTCCCACCTGAAAGTTCCGGATTCAAAAAATTACGTGCAAAAAGGAAAATGATGACTCATTAATAAATAGAAGTACTACAATTGCCATAGACATTTTCAAGAAATTAGAAAAATAATTAGAAAACTTTTGGAGTTTTGGAATTTCCTGAGAGAAACGATTTCGAAAAACCCTTATTGATTATGTTTTGCTCATTTCTGCGAGAACAGAAGCTCAATTCTGGCTCAAAAAGTCTCAGCTTTTGCTTTTGCTTTTGCTTTTGAGCTACAGGAACTGGCAGAGAAATAACAGACGTGTACAATTCATCTTACTTGTATCTTTACTCTAGAATGATAAAGAATCCATATATTAGGCTGTTCAGAAATTCTTTTTCTTCCATTTCGTACTTTGAAACATAAAAAATTCATCAATTAACCTATGATTTTCTCTAAATAAAAAGTGTCTAAAGTGTCTAAATAAAGTGTTTATTATTCAATTTCTCATCTTTTTAAGTCAATTTCGGTTCACTTTCAAGCAAATTCGAGAGTGAAAAGCGTGTTTTTCGCAAAAATCTTTAAAAACCTCCACGAAAAAATTGAGTGAATTAATTTCTCTAAAAATTTGGGTATATACCTAACTTTTTGTGCTCTATCTTTTATCTATTAACGCCAAGATAGGTTTACTTAGCTAAAGTGTCTAAACCGTGTTATCGATCAGTCCTTTTTTGACTACCCGACTTCACGCTTCCAAAAGATCCAGACATAAGACATTTTAAACCCGTTTTAATGTTATTTTATAGAAAAATAATTAGCTTTTCTAATGAAACAAACCGTAGTTCAATTGGTGCGTTTGTTGGTTTTAAACGGAAGTACGAAAAGGAACGAAAAGACTTTCTGGACAGATAAAATAGGTAAAAAGTTATTCATCTTTCAAGAGAATATAAATTTGGTACCAGAGCCGTCTTTTGCACCGAATTCTGAATTTTGGAGTGATAAGCATCAAAGCTTTTTAAGTTTGCTCATCAAATGCCAAATTCTTACATCAATCTGATATAAACAAGTATGAATTTGTTACCCCAAAGGAATAACGCATGAACCATGAGTCTGTTACAATAATTCGATAGCGTTTATCCGCTAGTTTCTATTTGAAAATAGTCAAATGAGTTTCACTAGTTGAGTAAAGTAAAGGTTTTTTGTTGGTATAATTACTTCTGATTGATATTTCTCCTCACCAGACAATTCACAATCGCGATCGTCATCTCTTCCGAGGGATTTTCACTCAAACGCACAGGCAATCCATCATAAGAATATGCTACTCCAAAGTCCCAATAATACAAATATCCACTTCCATTTACACAAGGAAATGTGTTATTTGTTGACTGAACTTCTTTTGAAGGAGTTGTAGCAAAAAGTCCAGCAAATGGATCATAAGTTGAATTCATTTGCAGAAAATATTGAAATTTATGTTCTACTTAGAACAGTTTACACGAAATTTGGATTTTTGGAAGGATTTTTGTGCTTGATTTCGCGCTTTTTAAACATAACACTCCCATGAACTCATGGAAATTCAAAGAAACAGACACAAAAAATGTAGGCGTCATCCGTGAGAGTTTCCAAGTTAAAAAAGAACCTAAAGTCAATGCGGATCTAAAGAAACTGAGCCAGATCTTAGAATCGGTGCTCAGAAGTAGAAAAAGTTAATGATAAACAATAAAATCATCTTTACTAAACTAAACTCATTTAAAAAAGCTAGACTGATTGCTTCAGCATTTAAAAACAGCTAGACTGACAGGTTATTTAAAAGTTTCTATCAACTTTTTCTAAAAACCATTTTAAAATGACTGAGGAAAGCTATTCAACTAAAGTTTTTAAAATAAAAACCTTAATAAAATTATACAACTACCATAAATTACTAATAAGGAGCCCATAGTCCATCATAGCTTATGAGCCGCGTAAAAGTGGTCAATTGCCCGCTGCCGAAATTACTCAATTTCCAATGTTTATACAAATCCTTAGCATCCATGAAATTAAACAATTTACACAAATTTTAAGCTTTAAATTCTTTTCCAATTAAAATGAACTAAACTTGATATTGAACACCCTTTCTGGGGCTTTCTGGAGAATGCTCTTTTTGATAAAAACACCAAAATCTGTTGGCTTTGATACGAGGGAGCTTCTATCTTCCTTTCTATTAGGTTGGTGGGAAAATAATCGAAATAAACAAGACTCAAACTTTATTTTTGATTTCGAAAAGTCCTTTCGCGTCATTGATACTAAACTTTTAGCTAATTGTGATTGATATACAGTACTGGACAATGAAATATCTTATTTGAAAAACGATCGTCACTTTCGCGCGTCTGTAACTCCCTTGTCTTTGAGTTTAAACTATTAGTGTTATACATTTTCTGAAAGCTCTTTTCAAGGGCTATACAATGGTAATATTAATATTTAGAAATACGGTAAAGACCAGGGAGTTACAGACGCGCGAAAGTGACGATCGTTTTTCAAATATGATATTTCATTGTCCAGTAGTGTATGTTCTTCTCTTTTATGTTTTTTTATTTCTTTTATGCTGATGGTTTTTACTTTAAATTAATTAATTTGTTATTGACTTTTAGTTTTGGACTTGAAGTTAGAGGCTCCAAATTTCGATTATTTTCCCACTAACCTAATATAAATCTTAGCCTAAACGCTTTTAAAATTATTTTCATACTTTTAAGCATAAAGATGAACATTAAAAGTTTATAAATTTATTTTTGTTTTAGGTCTATTTTGGACGATTTTGATCGATTTTGGTTGATTTTAGTTGATTTTGGCAGTTTGCTGTCGACCACTTGTGCGCGGCTTAAAGGCTCAACCATATATTGGGTTGGTGGAAAAGTCCTTTCCGATTTTTTGGAGAGTACCATAAATTTGTCCAATTTTGACGTTTTATAGCTCATCCTAGAGCTGAATTCTAGACGGATCGATTGGTAAAAGCCGTTTTGAGATATCTCTTTTCTAAAAGTTTTTACAGCTATTTTAGTAAAGGGCGGCAGAGCCAAAAAATGGCTGTTTTCACGTTTCGTTAGTTTTCCGTGCAGAAACCTAGGCTAAAAACATGTGTTTCGTCAATAACAATAATCCCTAGACACGCATTTTCAGAATCTTAGCAAAAAATTTTCGAAAAATGTTGTCACCGGTGGAAGTCGAACCAGCGACCCTCAGATCAATAGCCTTTCCGCCGCTTTTCGCGATTTTCCTTCGT